TCCCCCCCCCCACTTTTAAAAACGATGCTACGTCCCTGACCGTCACAGCCCTGTCTAGCACTATATAACGCTTGACCCAGTGGCCAAGAATTTCACAAATCTTCACAAAACACCGTTACTCAATACATCTTTGCACTTTGTTTGACCCTAGATGCACAGGAGCAGAGAAAGAGATTTACTATAGGTTCACTATATATGTATAATCAATAGAGCCACTAAATAATCAACAGAGCCACCAAATAATCAATAGAGCCCAAACCTTAATACCGGAAACCCTGATCCAGAGGCCATATATTTCACAATTTTGGAAGAGGTACCCTTGCTTATCATAACTATGCACTTAGTTTGTATTATAAATACCAAGGAGTAGAGAATATTCTCACAGATGGCTTGGAGAATTTTAATGAAAGAGGGTGTTGCAGAAACTCGCGATTATTCCGTAAATCGAGAAAGACATTTAAGGAAGCTCTAAACACAAAAGAAAAAGTTTTTTTGACTTTGAGAAATATTATTTATATAAAGGTTTATATACTGAGTTTATCTAGTTTATTTTCAACATAGGGTACCTGTCATATTTCTCCAGAAAAAATGTTCAAAGACAATAAAGGACAAATGAACAGAAATTACTGTTGTCTACTTACACTGGGAAAATCCATGCAAATAATGTTTCTAATTACTTTATCTTGGTCTAATATAATGTTAAGAATACAATAATCTACCTCGTGTCATTTACTGTAGATTTCCATGTATTCCTTTGCTCATCAAAGAGCAGATCACTCTAACTACATAAAACACTACCATAGATTTAGAACTCTTCAGTGAGCAGTATTTAGAGCCTCCTTAAATACCCACAAGCATGAAGAGTTATCTCTAAATATAGACATGGCCACGTAGATGACTATTTATACGGCGGATATGTACAGCTTGTTATAACAAAACATTTCACATTTTACGTTTATTTCATGCATAGTTTTTCCTAACATAGACTGGCGACCTGTTAGTAAACTTTTTTTTCACATCTATGGTCACTGTCGCCATATTGCACGTGAAAAGTTAGAACGATAAAAAGCACAATTAATGGCAAGTGCACCTCGCACATCATTTTGAAAGATGTACTGTAGATAGCGTGCGTTAATATTTTTCAATATATAAAAATGTGTCCAATAATTACGCTATTGATGCAATATCCAAGAAATTCCATTGAGTCATTTCAATTTAGTTGTTTCAAGTCAAATCTGAGCCACTAATTAACAGAATAATAGCGAAACGAAATAAGTATGAAAAAATTAAATTATTCAGGAACTAAATTGTAATACCAAAAATCATCCAATTAAATTGCTTTGTTATGTTTAATAATTATTAAAATTAATTAAAATTGTGTTTTACTAGAGACTTTAACGTTTAAATAACAGCAACAAGTAAAGGAACTGGATTATAACTGTGAAAACCATATTTTTGCTTGCTGTACGAGATTCAAATGATTTCCTTATCTGTCGCTGATATATATTTTAATTACACTCTATAATCTTGATCAATCTTTTCAAAAAATTGAATTTTTCCTGTGATATCAATTTTTCTGTATTATGGCTCTTGGCATAGTAACATGTAAGTAAAACTCTGGAACTTGTTACAGGAAGAGTAATTCAAAATTTAATAAATCTTAGGTAGGTGATTCATAATCTGGTACCTGTATGTGATAAATAACTTCAGGTAGCTTCATAATAAAGTGCTGCATAGAAGTATGTACATTATAATCTGGTACCTGTTAGAGGAAGGTAGCTTTAAAATCTGGTACCTGTTAGAGGTAGGTAGCTTTAAAATCTGGTACCTGTTAGAGGTAGGTAGCTTTAAAATCTGGTACCTGTTAGAGGTAGGTAGCTTTGAACTCTGGTACATGTTAGAGGTAGGTTGTCCTGTAATCTGGTACCTGTTAGAGGTAGGTAGCTTTAAAATCTGGTACCTGTTAGAGGTTGGAAGCTTTGAAATTTGGTACCTGTTAGAGGTAGGTTGTCCTGTAATCTGGTACCTGTTAGAGGTAGATACCTTTGAAATTTGGTACCTGTAAGAGGTAGGTTGTCCTGTAATTTGGTACCTGTTAGAGGTAGGTAGCTTTGAAATAAAGTACCTGTTAGAGGTAGGTTGTCCTGTAATCTGGTACCTGTTAGAGGTAAGTAGCTTGAAATCTGGTACCTGTAAGAGGTAGGTAGCTTTAAAATTTGGTACCTGTTGGAGGCAAGTAGCTTTGAAATCTGGTACCTGTTAGAGGTAGGTAGTCTTGTAATCTGGTACATGTTAGAGGTAGGTAGTCCTCTTACCTGGTACCTGTTAGAGGTAGATAGCTTAGAAATTTGGTACCTGTAAGAGGTAGGTAGCTTTGAACTCTGGTACCTGTTAGAGGTAGGTAGCTTTAAAATCTGGTACCTGTTAGAGGTAGGTAGCTTTGAAATCTGGTACCTGTCAGAGGTAGGTAACTTAGAAATCTGGTACTTGTTGGAGGTAGGTTGTCCTGTAATTTGGTACCTGTTAGAGGTAGGTAGCTTTAACATCTGGTACCTATTAGAGGCAGGTAGCTTTGGAATCTGGTACCTGTTAGAGGTAGGTAGCTTTAAAATCTGGTACCTGTTAGAGGTAGGTAGCTTTGAAATCTGGTACCTGTCAGAGGTAGGTAACTTAGAAATCTGGTACCTGTTGGAGGTAGGTTGTCCTGTAATTTGGTACCTGTTAGAGGTAGGTAGCTTTAACATCTGGTACCTATTAGAGGCAGGTAGCTTTGGAATCTGGTACCTGTTAGAGGTAGGTAGCTTTGAAATCTGGTACCTGTTAGAGGTAGGTAGCTTTGAAATCCGGTACCTGTTAGAGGTAGGTTGTCCTGTAATATGGTACCTGTTAGAGATTGGTAGCTTCATTATCTGGTACCTGTTAGAGGTAGGTAGCTTTGAACTCTGGTACCTGTTAGAGATAGGTAGCTTTGAAATTAGGTACCTGTTAGAGGTAGGTTGTCCTGTAATCTGGTACCTGTTAGAGGTAGGTAGCATCATTATCTGGTACCTGTTAGAGGTAGAGTGCTTTATTTTTGTATCATGTGGCGTAAATGTCTTCTCCTTTTTTGTGTTTGTTTTTTGCATATTTAGAATAAAATTACCCTCAAAATAATCCAGTTCTCGATACTTTTTTCTGTTTAATCTTAATGTTTTGTTTTAATTTCAATAGAATGCATGAGGGGTTGATTGCTCAGCTATGTCCTAATTTCTTATAACAATCCACTCATGTTTGGCCACATTTCTCAGAGTGCCAAATTTAGATAAACTTTTATAATAGTTGAAGCATGAGCTAAATCTGTATAATCACAAGCACTCTTTACCACCAATACTAGTGTATCGAATGATAGGAAATAAACCGATATTTTTGTCAAAATGTCTCTAGTTTTTTTTTTTTTTATATGCATTTGATACTGTTTAATGGTGCCAAAGCATTAAAAAAAAAGAAATGAAATGAAGAATTATTCACTGAAAAATATTGAGCAGTTAGAATGAAAAGTTTTTTGCTTGCAGCAGCAAAAATCCATGAATTCTAAAACAGGAATATTATACAGAGAATTATACCGTTAAACTATGAGCATTCTTTTTTTTTTTTTTTTTTTTTTTTTTTTTTCTGTAATGCTGTTTATATCAAGACGCATCCCGTTCATAAAATTGCATATCTTGCATCAGGCGGGTTTCTCTCTCTCTCTCTGTGTGTAGGGAGGTGTGTGTGTGTGTGAGGGGGGGGGGGAGGGGGTAGATATTCATTGGTCTGGGAATCGCAGCTCTCCATTGATCCAGGGTTGTGCTCTCTAGGCAATATTAATTAAAAAGTTTGGGGGCAAAACCAAAGAGAAATTCCTTTATAGAAGCCAAAATATATGAATTAAATACATTGTAAATAAATAAATAAATACAACAATTAAATATTTAAGTAAATAAACTTCGTCATGCATATGTTTGGGGGGGGGGGGGTCACAGCTCTGTTAAACACCTTTGTTTCCATTTTATTATCATTAATGTTAAAATTATTGTGACGATTTTATAATCATTAATGTTAAAATTATTGTGACGACCTACCCCTTCCCCCTTACCACCCCCAAGTTCGCAAGATCTTAAGATCAGCAATTAGAAAACATAAATTTTTCTCTCTCTCTCTTAATTATTACGTTTTACATATTAAATACACATTAATCTTTCTAGAGAACGATTGATGTGGAACTTTTTAATAAGGGTACAAATTCATGGTTATCACCGTTGTAATGCGAGATAACTCGTACGCACTTATGGAGAGATAACTCCTGCCAGCCATCCCTGCAAGCGGTACCAGATAGCCTCAACCCTTTTTTTATGTCATGTTTCTGCTGTCAATTTTGACCTTCTTCTTTTGTGAGTTATTACTCTTTACGTATGCCCTCAAGGGGCCCAAATTGGTCTTAATAAATCTTATCTTATGTGAATCATATAATTATTTATCCCATGTTTACCCCTTTATCCCGTGGATATGACTCATTGGATAAATTTTTCATATTCCACAGTTAAGTGCAGTTGTGACGTCACAATGGTTTTTGCATTAGAGTGATGAAGTAAAATAAAGTGGAGTCCTATATAAAACAGTGTAAAACATTGGTTGTGAAGTATTAAACATGGGATAAAAAGAATCTCCCATGATTTGTAGTTGGATGTGACTTTTATCCAACTCGTTGTGTGTTTTTATCCCCTCGCCAAGGCTCGGGGATAAAAAAAACACACAACTCGTTGGATAAAAATCATATCCAACTACAAATCATGGGAGATCCTATATATCTTTATCTTTTTAAGATCCCATGCATCCGCTTCAATTAGTTCACAGATACGTATATTAAAAAATTAATTGAATTAAGAATGTTCATTTATTCAACAAGCAAACAAAAATTTGGAAACAAAGATCATGGTTTAGAAAGTATATAGACTGAAACGGAAGTGTTCTCCGAGACTTACGTGTAGATTGTGCCTGTTTCCCTCATCCACAAACATACTCTCTAGTAGGTTTACCACGTCAGAATCTGGGTCGACGTTACCCTGTAAACATTAGACATATCTCTAAACAAAATCAACATAGCAGACCTCATCTTTTTTAAGTTCGATTACGAACAATTGTGGGTGAATAAGGCTATTCTGCCTTAAAAACTTCTTGTATTTACTTGATATTCTACAATCATTGCTGTTTTTGAGGTCAATACGATGATTTACCCACCTAGGAAGTACAATATTCACCTAGCGCGAAGGGCATTTTTTTTTTTACAGTATATGTTGAAATACATGTTGATCTTAAATTTTGCATACTTCACTTTGAAAAAAAAAAAAACACGGAAAATAAAGACATAATTGTGCATCTTTTACAAATTAAAACTGAGTTGTATATTACTGAAATAAAAATTAATCATAACGTACCTGTAGATCCCCTTAATCTATTTAATCAAGGGATGTCCTCATATTAATAGCGATTCTCTGTAACCACTTAAACTTCTTTGCCACGCATGGTCATCGATATTGATGAAACTTTGCCCATTATTACAACTTGACAACAGAAACATATATCAAATAAAATTTCGTTGCTATGTGTCTTGGTTGCCATGGTAACAGCCAGAAAAGTTGAAAAAATTGAGATTTTCGGCTACTTCAAATCTTTATTAAGCCTTAAAAAAGACTAAGAAAAACAAACAAACCATTCTCCCAAAAACATGACACTTTGTTGTTACTTATGCTATAAAGAAACTATTTAGAATTTTTCTCTAAGTAAGTGGTAACCATGGGTACATTTGACATACATTTTAGATGCTGAAAAATGCTGAAAAACACTCAATATTCACTAATGTTAGATGTTACATGATCAAACTCAATCAGTAATTGAAGAAAAACGATAAAAATATTCGACATTAAGTAATTAGGTATTGGCAATATTATTCTAAAAATAACTTTCATGGTTGCCATGGTAACACAGTGTAACCATGCAAAATTCATTGCTAAGATTGGGTTAATGCTACTATCTTGAGGAAAAACAATAAAATTCATGACTGGCACATATACATCCTTAGGACCTTGCAACACCGACAACATAAGAAAAAATGGGATTAATTGTTACTTTGCAGTGTAACCATGGAAACAATGTACCAGTTGTTTAAAGTGATATTTTTTTACTGCTTTAGGAAACTACTTACCTTTTAATCAAGGAACATATGATTTGACTCACCTTGAATAGTACTTATCTGGTAGAACTAAAGTTGAATATCATATATTGATAAGGTTTGTTGAAAAATACAACACTGTTGCTATGGTTACCAAGAAGGGAAAATGTTCGATTTTGTTAATTTTATATCAATATTAAATCCTATGTGCCAGCTTTTTGCATCCAGTTAGAGATTGGGTGGTAGTCAAAATTGAAAGTCAGGTTAGTTGTTCATATATATCAATCATAAAAGTTTTGGGAATCTACATACAAGGATACGTATCCAAGGAAACAGAATATTTTTCAGATTTTTATGCATATTTTTTCGGCTAATTTCCATAGCAACGCTCTATTTGAAGAATTGAAATTGAATTTTTTGAAATGTGAAAATTAGGGTCACACCAATGCCTTTAAAAATTGGTCATCAGTTATATAGAAATATGCTTTGTAAAAAGATAGGATAAGATTAAAATACTAAAAGAGTAAATTTAAAATCCCTTTGTGGTATTAAAACCATGGCAACCATTGCCAACCTATACGAAATATCATATTTCATCCTTGGTATATGTTACAAGGATCTCTTGTCTATTATTTGCTTGCATTTCAACCTATAATTGTTTTTATTCTTAAGTGTATGACTTTATAAAATTAAATGAACAAAATTATTACTTTTGAATACTTTGTTTCCATAGTAACGTATGTAATAGTTGATTTACCAAACATGTTTATCATGCATTTAAGACATCAGGCCTTCAACTTTCAGAAACAGTCATTGTCACTTGTTTGCTTTGCTGCAAACGTTAACTGTGGGACTCTGAACATGTTGAAAAATGCCATTTTTCAAAATTTAGGACATGTTGCTATGGTAACCATGACACGTAGCAACCAATTTTTGCCTGATTTGAATTTACGGTATCAAAGACTTTTATCATAGAGAGTTTGGAGAAATTCTGAGACTATGCGTGCCACAGCTCCTATATAAAAGTTAAAGTCAATACAGAGAATGGCTCTTAATTCTTTGCTGAAGGTACTTTATTTATTCATTATTATTGTTTTATTTATTTATTTATTTATTTATCATTATTTTTATTTATTTATTTATTTTTATTTATTATTATTATTATTATTATTATTATTATTATTTTTTTTTTTTTTTTTTTGGCAAAATTCAAGAACTCTGCAATTTCACAAAGATTGTTTCCAGTACCTGGCCCCAAGACCATAAACTGAGAATAGACTTAAGTCAAAATTTTGATTTTCAATATCGAGAGTTTTATTGAATGTTTTTACTTAAAAGGATGACTGCACTTAACGCCTGTTTTGGGGTCTTTTTTCGGTTACTTCTCTTGCTTTTATATCTAAACCTTATCTCACTTTTGTATGTTTATGAAAGAATACTGTCAATTTGAAACCACATTTAAATCTTAAAATGATTTTAGACTGAGATACAATAAAATGATTCAATGTTTTTTGTCCTTACTGCTTTCCAAATATAGTGAATTTACACTTACCTGTCCTTGATTGAACATTAGATATGCATGAAAGGTGGAGCTAACATTGTAAGAATGGGTCTAAAATTAGACTTGATAAATAACAATGACATGTTCGAAAAAAAGAAAGTGATCACTCTTTCCAGTCTCCCTCTCCATTCTGTATGGCACAAATACACTTCTGACAAAGGTTTCAAAACGAAATTAACAATATGAGCACGTCAATGTAATTAAAGCAGATTTTATAGCAATGCCAGATGACTTAACGTGTTCGAACACTGTGTCCTAGTTAACACAAAACATGCTACCTTACAAGTCACCTGACGGAATTTAGTATTCACAAAGTTACCTGAGGTAAGAAATCACGTGGTGAATTATAATATTCAACATGTCACAATCCTTGGTTACAACACAGAGAGCGAATGTAAGAAGAAGCAGTTTTTTCTCTTTTTAATCATGAGCGCATGTTTGTCTATTAATATCCTTTTGACACATTATTATTTATGCAAATATACAACTACTGTTAAACGTAGAACAATAGACAAACATGCGCAGACTATGTATAAAGTCAGTAAAAAAGTGGGCGTCTTCATTATCAAACGGAGATTCAAGAAATTGTGATGACCCCTGCCTTTGAAAACAGATTTGAACTTCGTAAATACACACTTTTATTAAAAGTAATTACATAAAGTTGTAGATTGGATGTTGACCATTCTTGCAATGAAAAGAAAAATGCTTGTTTTGAAAGTTTATTTTGTCGCAAATTCCACATGTCCTTAAGTGCAGTCATCCTTTGCAATATTATATCACATTTAATTTCAAATATATGATGAAAATTTTGTTTCATTATCAAAATTATTTCAAAAGTTATATTGGTTTGAAATTTTGACTTAGGTCTGTTCTCAGTTTATGGTCTGAACTCTCAAAAAAATTGTTATGAAATGAAAGTACCAACTCTCTACTTTACATTGATATTGATATTTGAAATGGGACATTCAGTGATAGTCCATTAACTGGTATATGAAGACAGTCCTGACCAATTTATGCACAAAGTGAACCTAGCTCTTTTTACCCACATTTTGTGAAGCTTTTTCAGAATTTTACAAAATTTCCACGTTTACTTTGGCAAACATTATTCAAGTTATCATTTTGAATATAAATCTAATTGAATTTTGCTGATTCTGAAAAAGTGTATTATTTATCCTCTTCTTTGACAATAATGGAATAACAGTCATTTATCCGAGTGAAATGTTTCTCTCTTTTCTGAGGGTCGATAAACCTTAAAAATTCATTTTAAGGTGTAACGACCCTCTGGTCTAAATTTCACTAATTAATTTAATTGAAATTAGATGCAAATGGAAAAGAGTACGTATGAATCAATGCTTACTTTTTAAAGAATGAATTTTATGTCTGACCATGACGTAAAAAAAATTGACAATAGAAAAAAGCAACAACTTATCACAACATGAAATTAAAAATATAATTTATAAAAGAAAATAATATTTAGTTTCATACATGTTAAATTTATATAAGAAAAAATAATTTTAAAACATTGGTACCTGTGTTTCTAAATGAAAAAAATGCATCCGGTTCATCAGCAAGAATTATCTCTTTTCAAAATATTTTTTTTAAAAAGAAATGTCTGTATACGGTACAGAAGAAGTTAATGTATCTTTTAGATTGTTTATAAAGAAATAGAAATATTCCAATATGTAACAGTTGAAAAAAAAATAGCTGCAAATGTTTTAGGCCAAATGTTATTAACTACTATCAAAAAGTCTGGCAAATAAAAAGAGAATACAAAGTTTGTTTCTGATATTTTGAATGAACTGACTAATAGTCTGTACTAGTAAACTCTAGTAAGACAAAATATCAGACATTTTATAATTATTTTGAGGGGAGTTATCTCTCTTATTTGGGGAATGTTCCACCTTAAACAATTTTTGAGGGAAAAAACATGTACAGATATATGTTGTTTCCGTTAAGTTTTCATAATCGTTAATTGGAAACTCTAGAAAACGATTTGATGATAAGATTCCCTGCTTTAATTCTAAGTGATGAAAATTAAATAAGTAAAACATGATGTTAATTGAAATGTATATTAATTACATAAAATACAACGGCAAAGCGAACGTTTGGATGCAAACCATTATGAAAATACATTTAAGTGCATGTTATGCTTCGATTTTAGGCTTTACGTACCGGATGCTTTGCTTTTAGGATAAAAAAAAAACCTAGATAACTCACAAAGAGCAGAAATTTAAATTATTCAATCTTGAGGAGTCTGTAAAGGGTGTCTACTTCCTGTGTAAAGGTTTCTGCTTCCTGTCTTTCCCTACCTTAAGAGCTTCTTCTATAAGTTTAGCCCCGCCTTTAGCGTTGCCTCCCTTGCCACTGTCGTCGTTGTTGTCTTCGCTATCGCCATTCTCTTCCTCCTCATTCTTTAAAGTTCGAAGCAACAACTGGTCAATATCCTCCTCTTCCTGTCCGAAATTAATGCCTGCTGACTTCTGGATAAAAATAGAATGACCTTCATGACAAGTTAATCTATCAATAAATATATCCCAGCAACCAACGTAAGCGCATCTTGATTACGAAGGAATAATTTTGCAGAAAAAGATTTCTTAAAAAGGGTGCTTTCTGACAAAGAAGATGGGCGAACAAGGTGAGGGAAATGCCTTTAGTGCGACAAACATGAAGGTAAAAATTTAAATCTCAATTATAACAAAATTCTCTTTGATAATTCATCTAAAATTAATGTAAACTTTATGTAAAATCTCCACCATTTGCAAAAATCTTATTAAGATTGAAATTATTTGCCTATGAAATAGCATACACACACCAGGCCAAAAAGGATCATTTTCTAATACTACAACACAATTTTTCGATATGAGTGGGTCTTCGCTCCATTTTTTGGAAAGTTTATCCTCAAAGTTTGCGTAAAAATAAACATTTTTTTTGGTTAATAAAAACATGGAGCAAAGACCCACTATACCTTAAAAATTCACTTTTATGACACAAAATTCGCATCTTTCCGAGAAATACTTGAAGTCCATTTAGTTTAATGCCACTATTCTTCATTAGCTGTGTAGCGAAGTGGTTAGCGTGTTAGTCTCAAAGGAAAATGATACATTGAATTTTTATTGCTAGGGTTCGAATCCCACGAATCCCATATTACTTTTTAATAACAGAATAATTTTTGTCAAAAAAATTTCCTCAGAAAAGTGATTCTGTATCAGAATTTCATAAATTTCAATAATGAGAACTTTAATTTAAATGCCAAATTCATAAACTGAATATGATTTTATATATCTGAAGCTGTAGGCATTCTGCACGCCCATTTCCTTTCAAACCTTTTAGTTATAAAATCATTGCATGAAACCCTGAATTATTTTTGTTTATTTCTACAGGTGTATACATGTAGGTCGCATTCCCCCTTATTTTTTTTTTTCAAAATAATGATATCCTTTTATTATTTAAGAATTTAGGCATCGGATTCAAAATTCAGTACACATGACCTCAAAAAAACTTTTGACATTATCTGTAAATCAGTAATTTATATTTACTGTCAACTGATATGTTGTGTCCTTTATTCAACATGCATGTATAGTATAAGTACAATTTTAAACTTTTTTTTTTCTTGTATTATAAATCGTTTCAACCAAATTGTTCTGTACTACCAAGTAAGGATTTATTACGTCAATAAATTATAAGGAGTTTTTAAACTTGATTCCGATCCCAGCGGCGGATTCTGAGGGGGAGGGGTTACGGGGGTTGCAACCCCCACCCCTTTGGATTCACTAAAAAAAAAAAGAGAGAGAGAAGAGATTCCAGAATATTTGTTGTGTTATACTTTAGAAATTGTTCAGTAAAATGCTATGCAGAAATGTATGCAGAAAATTCGGTTTTAAAAAAATGCCCCCTCCAAGAAATAGGATTTTCGGGTTCGGAGATTTATTTATTTATTTATTTATTTATTTATTTATTTATTTATTTACTTTTATTCTTTTATTTATTTATTTATTTTTTTTTTTTGGATCAAAAAATTTCAGGCAATCCAATTTTTTTCCTTGGCTGCCCCCCGCCCCTTTCAAAAAAAAAAGATACTACGTCACTGTAGTATTTCTATTTTATTTAACTATATGTAAACGTGCGTTATAACAACTCTCATTTCCTCTTCACCCCCCCCCCCCTTTTGAAAAATTTCTAGATCCGCGCCTGGATTCTGTTTGATCTCTACTTAATGTCTGTAATTTCCAAATACAATATGGTTTAAACTAAAAAAAACTTTTTTTATATATGTTGTTAGGTTTTATACAAATTCAGTAAGCACCGAGTAATGCGAGATGTTTGTGACAATTTAATTGTAGATGAACATGTATCTAAATTACCACGATTCAACCAATTTAGTCTTTTAATCTCCAACCAAATCCATTATTTTTTATCCTTGAATTTTTGTTCGTGATAGAAAATACTTTTTTATATAGTTAACTTTGTATTTCCTATATTTATTTTTCCGTACAAGTGACTATTTTTCGTCAAGAGGCGTTAAGAAAAGGACTTATCGCATGATCTTTCAAAAATCGTAATTTTATGAAAAATATTATCTATAACGGTTACCTTATTTATTAAAATACTGAATACAATAAACGTTGTTGAAAGCATATTTTAAGAGATATTGAGAGTTGAAATTCAAATACGGCAATATGCATATATCAGTCGGATTTCGGCGAAATACTGCTCTGGCGTCATAGGCGACAATTTGGTGGTAGAGAGATGAGAATATGCACACTATTAACGGAGTTATCAATGACAAATGCAACTAAATTATGAAAAATGCTGAAAATATTAATTCCTTAATATATGCTTCTCAATTACTATAGAAACATTAATTAGTTCTAAAGTATAAGGCTTTAAAGATATTTTCGTTTTTTATTCAAAACATTTAGAACCTGTAGCTCTAATTACGGCAATGTTTCGTGATCGGGAAATTATTTTTCGAGATCGCCATCCTTTAAAAAACGAAGAAGACTTGCATAAATTAATATTATATATAAAACGAAGAATAACAAAGTTATATAATGTTCAATTTGTTAATCAAATAAGTTAATACTTGTGATAAGAAGACAAATCAAATCGCATTGTTATGGCGAATTCTTCGTCTTCGCCATCTTCCCTCGCTATCGTCGCTGCTATTTTTACAATGTTAACAGATTTTTTTCTTGCTGACAATTCTAACATACAAGGTTGAATATTCAATTTTCTATCGATAAAATAAGTGATTTGGTCGTCCACAACGCAGAAAATTCAGGTTGTATCGCGTATATTTTAGTAAGGTTAATGAAGAGATGATCAGCCATTGTCGCCTTTGACGTCACAGGGTCACGTGATCGCTATCTAATTATCGTAGATTTTAATTCAAGGGTTTACATTTGAGTCAATAATTGGTTAATTACCGCAATTTATCCACAGTAAAAACACAGAATTTATAAATTATGGTCATAAGGAACGTAATACGCTTTTAATTTCAAATAATTTAGAAACTTGCGATAAGTCCTTTAAGAAACGAGTTCGTAACATTGAAGAACTTTTTAGGTCACCTGAGTCACTCAGGTGACCTATTGCTATCCGTTCTCGTCCGTCGGCGTGCGTCGTGCGGTGTGCGTCGTGTGTTAACATTTGAACATTTTTAGCTTCTTCTCTGAAACCGCTGAACCAATTTCAACCAAATTTGGCATATAGCATCTATGGGTAAAGGGGAACTAAAATTGTGAATTTCATGGTCCCTGCCCCCCTGGGGCCTGAGGGGTGGGGCTAAAACCACCAAAAATAATGCAATCTTTAAAAATCTTCTTCTTTACTCCCGGACTTCAAGCAGTCAAACTGTTGGCATCATTGTAATAAGCATTGAGCCCCCTACCAAAATTGTGAAATTCATGGCCCCAGGGTCAGGGGTTCTGGTGCTAGGGTGGGGCTATATAGATCAAATAGTGAAAGTGCATTATTTCTTTGAAAATCTTCTTCTCTGCTCCTGGGTATTAAATAAAGTAACTAAGTACATAGTTATGAAGAGCGAGATTGCCTCTTCCAAAATTGTGAAATTCATGGCCCCAGGGTCAGGGGTTCTGGTGCTAGGGTGGGGCTATATAGATCAAATAGTGAAAGTGCATTATTTCTTTGAAAATCTTCTTCTCTGCTCCTGGGTATTAAATAAACTAACTAAGAACATAGTTATGGAGAGCATGGCTGCCTTTTCAGAAATTGTGAATTTCATGGCCCTTGCGTCAGGGGTTCTGGTGTTAGGGCTGGGCTCTATTGATTATATAGTAAAATTGCATTAATTCTTTAAAAATCTTCTTCTCTGCCCCTGGATATTAAATAAACTAAGTACATATTTATGATGAGCATGGCTGCCTCCTCAGAAATTATGAATTTCATGGCCCGTGGGTCAGGGGTTCTGGTGTTAGGGTGGGGCTCTATTGATTATATAGGGAAAAGGCATGAATCATTTCAAAATCATCTTCTCTGCTCCTGGGTATTTTTCAAACAAAGGAAGTGCATGGTTATGATAAGGAAGAATGCCTCTTCCAAAATTGTGAAATTCATGGCCCCTGTGTCAGGGGTTCTGGTGAAGGGGGGGGGGGGAGCTCTATTGATTATATAGTGAAAATGCATAATTTCTTTCAAAATATTTTTTTCTTCTACTGGTTATAAAGTAAATAAACAAGTGTATAGTTATGATGAGAAGGGGTGCTTCTTCCAGAATTGTGAGTTCGTGGCCAATGGGTCAGATGAGCTGATGTTAGGATGGGGCTTTATTTATTTAATAATATGGTGAAAATGCATTTCTTTGAAAATCTTCTATGCTTCTGGGGATGTTCAAGGCAAACAGAGTAAAAGTTTTAATATGCAAGGGTATTTTTACCAGAATTTTGAACACCTGGACCATTAAATTTAGTCAAGTGTTCTGGTCCTGACCAGAGCTCTATTAACTTGTATTCTGCTGAGCAGAGTTATTCCCCTTTGCCATTCACCTTTGATAATTAATCAATGTAAATAATGTATTTGAAAGCTTAATAGAATAAGAGAATTATGCAAGAAAATTTATTGTATAATAAAAAAAGTACTTTCATTGTTTTAATGACTTGGAAATAATAGATGAATAAAAATGAGACAAAAATAACTTGTCTTTTTAAATGTTCTTTAAAGGCCAAGAGAGGCCATTGTGAAAAGTAATAATATGGGGTTAAATAATACACATTTTGTTAATAATCTGCATGGGATGCATGGGAATAGTGATTAAGGGGGGGGGGGGCAGATAGATACTAGACCAATTATTTTGTTGATGCTAATCATACTATTTTTCTTGCTTTTGGGCAACAAAGCTTCATTTATCAGTTTATGGATCCTCTAAATTGTTGTATTGTACTCAGGTGACCGTTAAGGCCCTTGGGCCTCTTGTTATTGTCAAGACTGGAAACACCGAGTTAGTCACCCGGCTCGATGTCGAGTTAATCACCTGACTCGATGTCGAGTTATTTACCTGACTCGATGTCAGTCTTTTTTATCCCTATTGTAATCAATGAGGAAATATATTTACATTTCAAAAGTTTTTCCTCATAATAACTAAGAAACTTTCAATAATCGGATGAGAGTAATCAAATAGGAATGATAAATAATCAGATAGAAATTAAATTTTTTTTTCGCATAGGAATAACAACTTATCGAATAGGAATCACATTTATCGAATAGGGATGATATGTTTTAGAATAACAATTTTTGAATAGGAATAACAAAAAAGTATGATAATGCAACGTTTTACACGCCATAGCAAATAAAGGATAATAATTTAAAACTCTTATATACATGTTGTTCCCATCTCAGAATAAGATAAATGCGCCTTATTCAATTTTTCAGCGCAGCCGTCAGACACAGTGTGCGTCAAAAATGTTTTAATTCAGTGCTTAATTATTATTTGATTTAAATATCTGCTGGTTTTGTCGGGCAAAACGATGAAATTTTTGTGTGTCACTGGGAGGTTCGTTATAGTATAATAAAGAATTTCCAGATTAAACCATTTGTTCTAATCTCAGGTGGAAAAAACCCTCACCTTTGAGATGTGTGAGTCATGCCTCTGTCTGAGCTCATTAAGGATCTGTCTGGCCTCTGCTTTACCAACGACTATAAATGTAAGAAATCATAAATCATGATAAAGGAGATGCTTAATTCTAATTATTGAGAAAATATGTACATTTAAACGTGAAATATTATAGATGTAGAATATTTAACATATATAAGATGGGTATGCGTAAACATTATTCACTAAAATAAGATTTATTTATACTGTTCTCATATTATCAGGTTCTTGTAGCAAAAGAGGAGCATTCAGTCCAAGACCTATGTATTAAATTTATAAATTCATAAATATTCAATGACACCGAAAGACGAAGGTCGTTTCTCATAATATCACTCCTAAAATCCCGTTTGTGGCGTTTTAAAAATAATTGCATAAGAAAAGAATAACAGTAACACATTCAGTCAGTAGCCCCCCCACCCCCCAACCCCCCACCCCACCCCCATCAGATTACTAAATAAAAACTGTATTCGGACCATGCAAAATAAAACCTGCCTTTGAATTATGACATTACCAAAATGTTATTGTGACGTCTTTTACTATTTATGATCGAGGGAAACTAATCTTTGATGGAAGCAAAACCTAAAATGAAAAGCCCAGTCTGCCAATTAATTACAAACTTAATTAAGACTTTATACGTTAAATGAAATATGGAGATAACGAACAGTAATCAAGCTCGGAGGTCCACTGAAACAATACAGATCGGGAGCAGAGCAAACACGGACCTCTAAAAACATCAGAGGTGGGATCAACTGTCATGGAGGAGTAAGCATCCCCTACCGACCAGTCATACCCGCCGTGTGCTCCTTGTCATCATGAAAATAACGGAAAAATCCGTAGACAATTCAGTGTGTAAATATTTGCCTAACAATTAGTACGAAAAACGTCAGTCAGCATTCTACTTAATGATAGATTTTATTTGCTGATAAGTCACTGTATCGAACATAGAACTTGTGAAATGCTCACTTTAAACAAGGCTGTTTATATCCTTGTTTCATCAACTTATTTGTCAATAGCTTGTCTCGTTTTAGAGAATGATCTTGCGTGTCGGATCAACTGGGAAACAAAAACTCCATAAATAAATTTCTAGCTTTAATGGGAAACATGCAAGTATTGTTTTTGTAACTGGCATAGCGACTGGATTAAAAAAAAAAGGTTATTACGAAAGGTTATTGCTAACAATACCAATGGTCACGGAAGACTGTATAATTCTTCCCGTATATAGATATTTTGGTTGAGTAGAATAGTTCAAAGAAAATTGACAAGGCACGAATGCCCCAATTATCTATTTACTTAAGTATCTATTAACTTTCATCTTGTCATTAATATTAATGTTATTATTTTAGAATTCTGTTTAATTGAATAATGACAATGCTATATTAACGCGTCCATAAGTAAGACTTACTTTTATTTCTGTCTCTGTGGGCATGAACTACAAGGCATTGCAGAATCGCCAGCAAACTCAGCACCCTCATATTGGTCCCCATCTCAGCTGGGTTAATGAAATTGAAACAGAAGTACCTCTTTATATGACGAAAATCATGTACATGCGCATGCAGTTATTTTGAAGATTACAATGAAAGTTTTTGTTTGGGGTTAAACTGATTTCTGTTTGGGTATCGAGCCTGTTTTATATACCTACGTGGGTGGATCGAAGGTCACGTAAACTGGGTTTCACGATATGTGAGTATGTAGATTCTTAAAAAGTTGGTATGTCAACCCAAAGTATCCCTGGGGGTTGTTCCGTCAGTGTCCAGTTAAGTGGACACGACTTTGAATTATATTAATTAACATACTAGTTTGATAAACATCTCAGCCGAAAAGATTTTCTTCAATAAAGAGTCGAGCTTTTACTGCAAAGAATTGTCCAGGGATTCTATTTTATCAAACAAACGAAATAAAACTTCCAATACTGAAAGTGTTCTTTATCACAGAAGTATTGATTAGATCTCACGGTATGTTGTTTTGGCCCTTTAACCTTGGAGTTTGACCTACTTTTGGAAAACTTTAACCTTGGCCATAACTTTTAAACAATTGGTGCTATGGCTTTCATATTTCACATGTGTAATCCTTGTTACAAGACCTTCATTTGGATACCAACAACTTTGACCTTTGACTTTGACCTTGGGGTTTGACCTACTTTTGGAAAACTTTAACCTTGGCCATAACTTTTGAACGGTTGGTGCTAGTGCTTTCAAACTTCACATGTGTAATCCTTGTGACAAGACCTTTCTATGGATACCAACAACTTTGACCTTGACCTAGGAATTTGACCTACTTTTGGAAAACTTTAACCTTGGTCATAACTTTTGAACGATTGGTGCTTTGGCTTTCATATTTCACCTTTGTATTTCTTGGGAGAAGGCCTTTCCTTGGGCGCCATTAATTTTGACCATTTGACCTTGACCTTGATGTTTGACATACTTTTGAAAAAACTTTAAACTTTTCCATATCTATTCAATGGTTGCTGCTAGGGCTTTCATATTTCACAGGTTTATTCCTCGAGACAAGACCTTACTTTGGGTACCATTATTTGATTTGCACTTGAGAAAGTTTAACCTTTGCTATAAGTTGCCATACAGGGTCATCAGTGTTTCACAAACACATCTTGTTTTTTTATTCTTTATCAATTTTTCATCGGCAAAATGTTAAATACTTGCATTCAGCTTATACACAGACAGCTTAATTTTGTTAAAGAAAAAATCGTACTTGATACTGGAATATATTAATACATGTAGTATATTAATATCTGTTTAGAGTGTCATAAAGGTCCGATATGCCGGGTGTTTGTATAAATTATTTTAACATGTTTAATGCATTTCACGATGATAAATCAATTCCTTGTTACCCTGCATAGAGAGAACGACTTTATCAGATTCAAATACAAAATAATTTAAAAAAAAAAAAAAAAAAAAGAGGAAAATGCATGTAACTAAATTTCATCCGTTTTAGTGTTGAGGGTTGATTTTATCCTAAAAATAACAAATTTGGTTTTTTTTTTCGGCTGTGATGAGCAAACATGGTACATAACTCACCTTCCCTTCGTTGCAGTGTACGTGCATACATTCAGCCTTTCAGTTTTTCGGCTTAGCATTTTACGGTAACTTTCATTTTGCATGCCATTTCTTTAATTTAGCACTGACTCAGTTTGATTGACCTTTAGCAGTTTAGTATCATTTACAATATATATTATTTCTTGCATTTTGCATCGCATTTACTATGTTTTATTAGTTTGTTCTTATACATTACACATATAATCAGAGCAGAATTCAAACTTATAATACTCTGGTTTCATACATTTACGACAATACAATTACGATTCTCTACGCTTCGTACGGACTAGTCTATTACTAAAATAATTTTCAGAGAAATAAACGGGAAGCAATGCAACGTAGCCTTTGTGACGTAACTGACATGACGTCATAATCAAATGTGCACAAAACAACCCCCGACCAACCTTAATTTTCAGTTCCGCATCTTCAAACCGCACGAGACATTTGGAACGTCTAGACTATGACGTCGTATGTTGCATTTCCATAAACAAAGTTTGAAAAGTGCAAAATTTTAGCAATTAAGGAATGTTTAAAAGTTTTGTGTGAGTTATTGGTGTGTAGATCACACAGACTTGTCACGTAGGCATATTTCATGAAGTGCGCTAGAACGCTTCATGAAAAATATGCCTACGTGCAAGTCTGTGTGATTTACACACCAATAATTCACACTAAACTTTAAAACATTCCTTATATTTACATTTTACTTGTTCAAAAGCAACAAATATATATACTTAATGTTTGAATTATTCGCTGCCCTATTTCGTTACATTTTTATTAACGTCTCTGTAGCTCATTGTGACGTCACTTTAGCGCGAGTTTCTCTGTGCATATTTCTACGCGTGACTATACACGAAATTGGGATTCAAATCAATTTCACAGTTGGCTTAGTAGAAAAACACAGCAAAAGTAAATATAGAACGTTTAATCTCCTATCTGTAAGCATTATCCATTGAATTAAGGTAAGTTTATTTTTTGTGAATTTTTAGTTGTTGTTACCGCGTTTCAATAATTGAAATTAGATTTCCACGAAAAAATGTTTTTAAATGTGTAATACATTTTCAATGATAAATCAACTTAATCCTTCTCTGATGCCAGACACCTCTACCAAGGGTCATGGATTTCACAAATTTGGTTGAAGGCCATTTGCTCATTATACCCATGCGAATAGTATGCTGCTTTTTTCCAAGAGGAGAGGAAAACATTTTCAATTTTGACATGAATTTTTGATACATGGCCAACAAAGTCCCAAGCTGCATCTGCCTATTTTCTGGATTTTCACAAGTAGAGTGTTGACCTCGTAATACGCATACAAACAGTTGTCTGAGATGTGCATGAATATAGAAAATACTTTTAAAGATGGCTTTGATTCAATCTTTCATAAACATGTATTTATTTTATAATATAAAATATCCCCTTTCCATTTTTGGACATAACGCCTTTTCAAAAACAGGCCGGGGGGAGGGGGGGGGGGGGTAGTCTTGCTATAGTTTAAATATATAAAAATTCATTTATTGGCTTTTTGGTCCCTTGAACATTTTCTTGCAGCATGGTTAAACTCTGGCAAATAATCGCATTTTAAAAAAGTTTCATCGAAAAGTTAGAAAAAGATCCCCCTCGAAATTAGGCAGTTTAGTTTTGTTTTGTTTTTTTTTTTTGGGGGGGGGGGTCTTGTTTTTTGTTTGCTTGTCAATTTTTGGGGAGCCCCCCCCCCCCTTTTCAAAAGCACGGGCCTGTCAAAGGCATAATAATGGCTCTTCATAATAAAGCCTTTTGGGAAGGCGTAATAACGCCTTTTGAAAAGGCGTAATAACGCATTTTCAAAAGGTGTAATAACGCCTTTTAGAAAGGCGTAATAACGCCTTTTGAAAAGGCGTAATAAAGCCTTTTTGAAAGGCATAATAATGCCTTTTATAAAGGCGTAAAAACGCCTTTAGAAAAGGCTTTATAGCGCCTTTTAGTCGCCCCCGTGGCGCAGTGGTTAGAGCGTCTGCTCTAGAGTCGCGGAGTAAGGAGTTGATCCTTACGTCGCGGGTTCGAATCCCACTGTGGGATGTGGAGACCGGCCCTTCGGATGAGACCGTATAAATCGAGGACCCGTGTCGCAGTAGGTGCTGGCACGAAAAAGATCCCTTACTGCTCAAAGGCCGTAAGTGCCGAGTATAGGACAAAATTTGCAGCTCTCCAGTGAAAAATTCTCGAGAGGGACGTTAAACAACATACAAACAAACAAATGTAACGCCTTTAATTCTTTTTCTCTATAAGCTTTCGAACGGAAGCCCAATAGTGCAAACCAAAAAAATAAAAAACGAAATTATTGAATAAAGAAAACGAAATTATTAAATTAAAAAAAACAAAATTATTAAATAAAAAACGAAATTACATGTATAATGAAGTGAAGTCATATCCAAAAAAACAAACAAACAAACAAACCAAACCAAAAAAAAAAAAAAAACACTCTTAACAAGAAAACATCTGAATAATTGTTTTGTTTTGATTTTTTTTTTTTTTTTGGTTTGGTTTGTTTGTTTGTTTGTTTTTTTGGATATGACTTCACTTCATTACTTCATTACATTTGAATCATTTCGGTTAAAGGCGATCTTTATATTGAAAAGGATGAAAATGAATTTAAAAAAATGTTATATATTTTTTTTTTAGATTTAGCAACACATGGTCTCAGGCACTTGTTTTTTTTTAAATAAAATCCTGTGAATGATGCCATTTTTCTGACTATAAAGTTTTTGTTTTTTTTGTTTTAGTTTTTTGTTTTTTGTTTTCTTTTGTTTTGTTTTGTTTTGTTTTGTTATTTTGGTGAATAGGTAGGTAGGTTTTTGAAAGATGGGTGGACGCTAAACAGAGAAAAAAAACTTGGAATGGCCTAATAATGAGTATAGATTTCTTTGTTCAAACCGGATTCAAAAAAAAAAAAGCAAAGCAGAGCACCCCCTTTCAATAAACATATCGATCTCAATATAGATATCCGTTACGCATTCATTGACTCACACACATCCTCACAATTAAGTTATATATTAAGGTACGCTGGTAACGTTCATTGTATAAAGCATAGCCAGAGAGAAATGGAGTTAACAGTTGGAATACTTCTATAAATTTTCATAAAGATATCTGAAGTACGTACTCAGTAGGATGCTTCAATTGTACCCCATAGGCCTCTTGTTAAAGATGATTTCGATTAAAAAGCGATTAACCAGGTCACTAAATGTGTTTATACTTATATTGCAGACTTGTTCATTATATCTTAAATTCTTTCCAACCATAAAAATCTCCACAAATGGAAGAAGAATTTTCTCCCACAGCTTTCAGAACTTTTATGTTACAATTGATGTTATCATCTGAAATATCCAATATTTCTTCTGGCGTGTTCCGGACGAGTGAATTTTTAAGATATTTTCATATTCCTTCTCAAAATCCTTGACCTTAAAATCTCTGTCCTGATCTATGACAGATATATTTTTTCGTCACGTATGTCCCTGGGTCATTTAATATCGCTCTACCCGTATCTGTGTCATATGATCTGGTTCTTTCAGGTACTCGGATCCTAATTAAGGTTCTAAAAATCAGCAGTTAAGTAATTGAAAATGCTCACAAAAATGTTACTGAATTCTCAAAGTAATGTGTATTTACCCGTGGTATTTCTTCAAAGTTCATCATTATTGTTCATCATACGATATAGGAAAAATAATGAAATCTCAAGTATATATTTTAAAAAAAAAAAACGCGAATAAGAGCACGAGTTATGCATTTTCTAATTGAAAATTAATCAACATGTATATTTTTTGATAAAAAAAAAAGAAAAAAACAAAAAACTATAGACATTCAGGCATTCGGAGAAAACTGTTTTCCATACTTTTACCGTAATTTAATTGTATTAACTTCAATTGTTATACAATATATAGTGTAAAAACTTGCATTTGGTTATTCCAATTCTTCATGATAATATCTAATTTTTCCACCTTTATTCGGTGTGGATGAAGCAAAATAGGTTAGGGCGGAGGTGGAATATATCTGCGTTTCTATATGGAGTGCCAAATTAACATAACAGCTATTTAGCATGAGGGACGTTATCGATACAGTATTATTATTAAATTAGTATACGTACTTTACTGAAAGTATTATTATTAAATTAGTACATAATTATGTACTTTACATGTGTAAGTTTATGTAACTAATATAACTGTCTTAAGTAAGGAAATATGAATGCAAAAAGCACAGAGATACTAAGTTTGTTACTTGCGGTCTACAGAAATATAGAAGGTAGGCACTTGACGTCTTATTCACCGAACAAATACTAGTATATGTATTTACATGTTAACAGTTGTTATCATATAGTCTATAAATAGCCCCTATATAATCTATACAAACGCAAACAGTTCATAACACTACATATTCACCGGATTTGAAGCCGTATTCACCGGAGGGTGAGTGCGCGTGCAGTGGCATTGTGACGTCACAATCAATACCTCAAACAACGTTGAGCTCATTGGTTGCACGGTCGGAGCTAGCTAGATATTGAGCAGGAAAAATTGTTTCGCAAGTCTATGGCAGGATTATTTTCTTAACATTTCGATGTCTTACACACAGCGAAAGGAAAACACAGAAGATATAGGTTGTAATCTGGACATTTGATTATTTTTCTACGACAGAAGTTCGTTAATGAAAATGGAATCGTCAGGCAGACTTCAATGTCTTATTCATTCAAATTCTGACTATATAATAAAACAATTATGGACTCTTTTGATGGTGAATATATGGTTTGTTATTCACCAGAAAAATATCAATATTGACCTCGGCTTCACCTCGGTCAATATTGATATTTTTCTGGTGAATAACAAACCATATATTCACCATCAAAAGAGTCCATAATTGTATATTATCCCTCTAATGCTGACGTTTTTGTGCTGACATATCACAACTTGTCTTTTCATTTTTAACTATACTTAGTATTTTAATTATCTTAAAATAAGGCTCAAATTTAAGGAAAGTCTAGTCTTAAATAGAAGAATATCCTTTTTAAGTTTGAAATGTAATATCCAGTATCATCAAATTAAAAGTGTTTTGATGTTTTACACCACTATTACGTGTATGAGATAATTATCTATGTTTGTCTACATCAGAAACTACTCGTAGATACTGTCATAAGAGGCAGTCATATACCCGCAAGTAAGTGTTTGCCTCTAAATGTACTCTCATTTGTATCTAAGTAGTTAGCGAAGAAGCATGAAAAGTTATTCCATAGTTTTTAGCATTTTACGCTCAATTTGATACCTCTAAATAGTGACCCATGGACATCTTTTGTTAGTATTTCATACAATAAATTCACTACAAGTCTGAAATTAAAGAATTCTCTTTAAAAGGGAGTTTTGGGGGGAAACTTTTGTGTCCAAAGAAAAAAAATGACTTCAATTCGCCTCCGATTTGAAATGAAACTTCTGAAACCTTCACATCTTGGCACCATCAATCACACACTGTACTAGTATTCCATAAGTGGTCTGGCTTCTTTGTCAAAGAGGAGTTCTGGGATAATGGTTTTTCTTTTTGTACAATAATGTCATTTTTGGCCTCATATTGGCCTCCGAAAATTAAAATTCCGGAATCTAATTATTGCATATTTACAGGACACCACCTTTCGTATTTAAAAAAATGACATTGCTACTATATAAAATGTAAGAAGAGTTTTTGTAGAAAAACGTAGGTTTCTACTATCAATTGACCCTAGAATAAGACTTTTTTTTTATTTGTTTTGCTACTCTACAGGATGCTATTAATACGATCTTAACTAGCTGTGCGTAAAATGTAAAAGGAGTTTTGGAAAACATGCAGGTTTTGTAGAAAAATGTTTAAAATGGGTTTTTTCCCCCAATCCTCTGCCCCAAAGATGAAAATGAAACCCCTTAAAAATTATTGCACATTCAAAGGACACCGTTAATCATATTCCAAACAATGGATAAGTTACTGCTTTAAAAATTGTACGAGGAGTCTGAAGAAGGTCAGGACGTACAGACGGACAGACGAACTGGGCCAACAAAAATATACCCAAACGTTTTTTAGAAACCAACTGATAAAATCGAAGGGCCACTTAAAAGATAATTTAAATGGATTACATTTTAAATTTAAAAACAAACAAAAATGTATATTGTCGGATTTGTTTAATTCAGCTGGAGTGCAACAAAAAGCTCACCTGTAGAGTGCAGGAAGTCTGATGTAACTCGTATACTGTTCATTTTTTTTCCTTCGAATGCATGTTTAAAAACAGATGATGCAAACTTTCTTCAAAAATCATGAAAATAACAATTAAAGCCCTGTTTATTTAAGTAAAATACACTGTAAATATAAGGCGCATAAATTTGAATTTTTCACTCTAAGTTTCACTATATGTCCTATGAAGGGATAACATTTTTATAGATTAATTTATAAGGATGAAAGCAAAACGTATATAAATTTGAACACTGAAGAAATTTTACAAGTTTTAGATATTTTAGAAATTTGCAATTTGCGTCATTTACCAAAATATATCAATCCGTGCATCCACATTTTGTTTGTATCATTTATCCTTAATAATAATAAAAAAATAACATTAAGGGAAATTTAATTCTTCTTTTCCATAGGACACCAGTATACCAATATGAAGAAACCAAAAAGCTTCTGTTATTTTGTCAAAAATCAAGTTTTCTTCTGTGTATTACTGTATTCCCGGATCATATAGGCAACAAGATTTCGATATTCCACTGCATTCTACTTATATTTCAGTTTCATATCCCTTTTGATAGTTTCTAACAAAATAACAAAATATTAACATAGTGAAAAACTTCAGAAATGTGATCTCACACTTGAAATTATACTGTTTGGCAGAAGATGTATAATGTGTGCTTGTCTCTATGCTGAACACAGGATGTTGTTGTTGAATGTATGGTATTTCATGTAACCAGAAGTCTGCTTCCTGGCTTTTGTAAGAAATTTTTGAGCTAATGTTATCCCCAAGTTGTATGAAACTTTTGTTGTGTATGTTATAGCGTGGCCAAAATGGTAGTCTCGGGTCATTTGGGTTCCTAAAACAGAAAGAAAAAGGTTGATTACATCAGTTTTATCAACTGTTGTAATTTGTAAATGCAAGCAAATATTGGAAATACATGTAGAACAATTTATTCTTTTTTAAAGATTCCTACCCTGTGATAGCAAAATTGGACCAATACTTTCTCATCTGAAAAGCGTATAATAGATCCTCTTCTGTTGCCTTCACTGTCGTGTTTGGATCGAACTCTTGCAGGTTTTCAATAAGAAACAAATACACAACATCATCAGAATGAGCCGCACCATGGAACCATTCTGGGGGTGCTGATTCATTGTACATAACCCCAGGGTAAATGGGACTCTCTCTTGATAAAATAAACCTAAATGTGGACGATTTGTTGTTAGAATGTATGTCTATGATCTCAGTTGATGGTGCAATGAAAAAAAGGTCAGTGAATAATTCTGTCCATCTACGAAATTGATCTTGAGATGTGCTGTTCTTTGTAAAACCGTAAAAATTGCCGATTTCCGAAAAGAGCCGTTTGTTCCTTCCATAGTACTCCTTTAACATAGCTTCCGGGCCAACATTCCATACCCAGTCAGAAGGGATTAATGAATCGTCAATCTTCTTATAATATCGTTCTAGGGATTCTATAGCTGGAAACAGAACAGATCCTTCCGTGTCGCAATTGGTGACGATGACGTCAAGAGACTTAAAAAATGCAAATGCCGAGGAATTCTGATCTTTCAAAATTTCTTCAGGAGATTGTTGAAATAAATCATTGTCGACAACAGGTGCTAGAGGAATATAGCTGGATGGATATGTGTAGGAACTAGTGGGTAAATACCTCATGCATATAATTCTCATTAAGATATTTTCCTGGAAAAATGGACACAAATGCACGGAAACAGCTTCAGATGTAGAGTATGTGTCATAACCTTGGCGTGTGACCTTTAATGATGAATTGGGAACTCCACTCTGCATTATAACGCGGTGGAATAAGCCTTCATTTTGTGGAATCAAAGCCAGAAACCCCACACTGAAACCACCTGCTGATTGGCCAAATATTGTAATGCTATTCGTGTCACCTCCGTAATCATCGATATTGTCCTTCACCCATTGTAAAGCCATCATTTGATCCCACAATCCATAATTTCCTTTGACGGTGGATTTTTTCAAAGCCAGAAATCCGAGCAAACCCAGACGATAGTTTACTGTCACAACAATAACATTCCCAGTTTTTGCAAGCATACTTCCATCATAAAATGAGGCCGTTCCTACACTGTAGGATCCGCCATGTATCCAAACCATAACGGACTTTTTAGACAAACTCTTCAGATTAGGAGGCGCATATATGTTCAAATGTAGACAGTCTTCACTCAGTCCATGTTTGACAAAATGATAATTATAAACTTGTGGACATGCAGGCCCGAACGCTGTAGCATTAAGAGTGCCATTCCAGGAACCGTATGGCCTTGGTTTTGTGAATCTAAGTCTGCCAATAGGTGGTTGGGCGTATGGAATCTGTAGAAATCTGTACAACTCAGTCGTGTCATAACTGGAAACTTCTACACCGAGTATAGCACCCAGCTTTGTTTTATGAACAAAATTCTTTGTTTTTTGTTGTCCCGAAGAGATTTTAAAACATGCAACGATACTGATGCAGGTCAAATGTAGTAACTAAAAGTAAGAAGAACACATTTGAAATATCCCTTCTTGACAGGGAATGGTGATCATCTTTGAACCATATTTTGCACTTTTTACGCGTGATCGATAAGTCTTGACATGCAATCACATGTAGTTTCTACTAGAAGCTTAGAATACTAAATGTAGATATATAATTTAGCTGTATATGAAACTGGTGAAGGATTACTTACCATGTTTGTACTGAGTGTTTACAGCTGATGTGATAACGCACTGTAACCTTTCGGGTAGCACGGACAGATTTCTGTCAAATGTGTGTGTAAACAGGGAAAGATATCGATTATCAGATATTTTTGAGGGTATGATACGTTGCATTTAATCGAGAATAATTTTATAAACCAAAACCATTTGAACGAAATAGATAAAGATACATTATTTGGTCTGTTTGGAGAGATCTGTACTGGGACACGTGATTGTCAGTTCGTGTGGAGGGGGCTTCACGGTGTCAACCTGTAGAAGGTATTACTGGTGGTATAAGAAAAAAATATATACATTGAATATAGTATGTTATGGAAACCCATTTAGGAACTATCCAAAATATTTTTGAATTCGATATTACGAATTGTCGGATTTTTTTTTAAAACAAAATAATATTTATATCTTAGGTTTTTAAAGCTATATATGGTGTATCTAAGCTAAAAAAAATGATAATACGAGATTGGGTGTAGATATACATGATATAATGTTTTTTACTTTTAAATTTAAATTTTCACCAATTTTGAACTCGAATAACCTCATGTTTCTATAATTAAATTGACTTTAAATGTGTCTTTTATTTAAATGTGGAGTCGGTAAATAAATCGGTTATTGTTTTAATTTTTTTGATATCTTTGAAACACGGTTGATTTAAATTGTGTAGTTTACAGAAAAGTCCTATCTTTATATAAAGTAATAAGTCAAATAGAAAGATATTTTAAATTTTGGTTATCTGAACTTACCAAAAATACGCCATATATGACTTTAAGCTTTAGAATATCAGATTCTCTAATAACTAATTCTTTATACAAACTAAAATTTTACTAGCTTTTCTAAACTTTCTTTATACAGACTTGAATGAAAAATTCTGTTCTTTTTCTGTTAATCAGTCAATATTTTTGTATTTCTATCATGTGTGGCTTATCTGAAATTCAATCCCATATTTTTCTTTTCAGATTATGAATAACTATATACATGTATATTTGTAAACTTTTTTTAGCTGAGTAAAGATTGATGTGCGATACACATTGTCGAAAAACAAAATTTTTATTTCATTGTATAAAATTTTTATTGTTCATGGCTAATAAATTAGACATTTATAGGACCAGTGTCTATACAGGCCATTAAAACCTAGAATTTGGGTGATTATATGGCGTTTTTAAAACCCCCTTCCCCTAAAAAGAAAAAAAAAAGAAAAATAATTAAAAAGAAAATAGATGCTTTCATACCCGCACTTAAGGACAGATGATACAAACAAAAAAATAGATGTCTGGAATGGTATATATTTTTGGACCCATTTTGGTTGTAAATGATGCGAATAATAAATTTCTAAAATATTAAGAAATTGTAAACTTTTTATGATGATCAAAATTTTACCTTTCTGCAACCATCCTTATTAATCTATACAACTTTTTGTCACTATAAATCCAATTATTGTGAAACTTTGAGTGAAAAATGAAAATCCATTCGGTTTAAGTTATTCATTTTACTCCTCTGAACATGACTTAAGTTGTTATTTTTAAGATTTTTGACAAAAGTTTGTTTGTATCACCTGTCCTTAATTGTTTACCTCTAAATGTACTCTTTGTGTAATGAAGATAATGAAGAAGCCGCAATATTTATTCAAAAATCTACTTAAATATAAATAAAGTTCTTGGAACCAGGGGGTTTTTTAGTAGGAAAGAAACGTCGTTTTTCGACCCCTATTTGACCCCAGAGGTGAAAATAACTATTCCGAACCCCTATTACACATCAAGCCATACACCATCGTCCAAAAGATGATTTGGCTACTTGATAAAAAGTAAGAGAAGCTCCGGGAATCAAGTACGTTTTTGTAACTGTTGTTTTACGACACCCATTTGGATCCCAGGTTGAAACTAAAAATTCCGGAACCTAAGCCTCATTGCACATCTACAGGACTTCAAAAATCACCTTTCAATGATTTAGCTACTGCGTAAATTGAAAGAGGAGTTCTTGGAACCAGTTTTTAACGTCATTTTCGACCCCCATTTGACCCCAAGGAAGAAAATGAAAATTTCGAAACTTTATTGCACAACTACAGGACACCAGTAACTACCTTCCAAGATATGAATTGGCTACTGCGTAAAATGTAAGAGGAGTTCTGAGAACAGAATATTTTTTGTAGAAAAAATGTTTTGAACCCCATTTGAATGTGTCAATGATGAAGGATTCGAATGTTAAGAAAAATACCTACCCCCCCCCCCCCCCAAAAAAAAAGTGCAAACTCTGTATAACACAACGCACTTGATAATAATGTTGTATCAGTAAATAATACAACTAGTCGGTGTGCTTTTTAAAATATTTTTAAGAAGTACAGTGTAATAGATATATTTTCGTCATACTAGATGAATTTTCCAGTCGGCTAGCAGAATTTTGAAGCTGTTTACGGAGATAAAAGAAAATAAAGACAAACATGCCATATATGGTTGTGTAGATAAATTATCAGTTGGTGCTAGGGCTTTCATATTCTGCTTGTGTATTTCTTGACCTTACTAACTGTTAAAAAATTATGGCCAAGATTAAAGTTGGCTAAATTTGTGCAAAAATGGGCCAAACTCCAAGGTCAAGGGGTCAAAATTAATGGTACACTGAGGAAGAGCTTGTCATAAGAAGTACACACGCAAAATATAAAAGCCCTAGCACCATTGTTCAAAAGTTATGGCGAAGGTTAAAATTTTTCTAAAGTAGGTCAAACTCCAAGGTCAAAAGGTCAAAATTTTTGGTATCCAAAGGAAGGTCTTGTCACAAAAAATATACCTGTGAAATTTGAAAGCCCTAGTACTAACTGTTCAAAGTTATGGCCAAGGTTAAAGTTTTTAAAAAGTAGGTCATACTCTAAGGTCAAGAGGTTATTTACACCCATGGAAAGGTCTTGTAACGATGAATACAAATGTGAAATATGAAAGGCGTAGCACCAACTGTTCAAAAGTTATGGTTAAGTTTAAAAGTTGGGTAAAGTTTTGCAAAAGTGGGTCAAACGCCAAAGTCAAGAGGTCAAATATGTTGGTACCAAAAGGAAAGTCTTGTCACAAGGAATACATATGTGAAATATGAAAGCCATAGCTACAATCAGTCAAAAGTTATCTAGGCAAGGTTAAAGCTTTTGCGGACAAACAGACAGACAGACGGACAGACAGGACAAAAACTATATAACCCCGAATCTTCGATTACGGGGGCATAAAACTAGAGGTGTTGTAAGCACTGAGTTCACAAAATGATACTCCACACTCCCATACGATCCCTTTTTTTGCTATGAGAAAGCCCAAATATCTGTTCGATTAAAACAAAACAGGAGGTGCACAATGGCGTTACATGTATGTAATAAAGATTTTGTAACAGTATCATTAAATTTTATTCAGTCGTATAGGAGGAGTTGCAGATAAGAAATGGGTATCCTTGATATTATAGAAAGAATGACAGAGTCTATGTTTTGCTATGGGAAACCTGAAATATGTGTCAAATGAGAAAGTAAAATAGGAGATGCACAATGGCACTCTGTGAAAGTCTCAAATTTTATTCAGTGGTATAGGAGGAGTTGCAAATAATAGATGGATACTCCCAATATTATGGAAGGAATGACAGTGTCTATCTTTTGCCATGGGACACTTTCAAGCTTGAGGTATAATAAAGTTATTTATCAGTAAGTTATCCAATCAAATAAAGGAAGCAAATTTTTAAAAGATGATATTAACAATACAATTTTTGAAAATGTAATTTTTCATGAACTTTTAGAAATGCCATTCTTTACGATAATTACTATGCGAGTGAAATCTACAAATATACTTTAAGATCATCTCATATCTAGGGCAATATTAGAGGAATAAGTAGGTACAGGCATTTCGAATTCGGATCTAATTTATTAGTATAGATTTTAAGCTTTTCTAATAATAAAAAAAGCAATGATTTTTGAATTTTGGAAGGAGGGATTAGCAAACGGGGGTCTCACCATTTCTTTTATGTCTGAATGTCAAGTTTTGAATACAGAGTAAAAACTTCGATTGTAAAGAGATTAATTCTGTTTTTAATCTTTTATCTCGGATTGAAGTAACAGAACGACATTAAATACACATATGTACTGTAAGCGAGTCATTCTGACACATGGAGGGACGGAGTAGAACCGTTACATGTCCTTCATGTGATAATAATCAATTTTATTATTCCACTTGTAAAATTTAAAGAGAAAACTTAGTTTGGTGAGCGGCTGAAGGTCAAATCTAATCAGTGTTAGCCTGCAGCAATACAGTCTGAATCGGTATTGACCTATGAATGTGTTTATGAAAGATTCAAAACACGATCATATCTACAAAGAGCTTTTAAATAAAGTTGTTTTTTTCTATTAGGGTAACTTCTGATCTTTGCAGTGAAAGACTGCCGCCTAAAATATTTATGCTGATATAATACTGCCAGCAATTGTAAATGAAAATGTGATCCGCTGTCATAGGGTAAACGTCCCTGTATAGTTAAGTGAATTCCCTCGGAAGATTTACTGTATAGTTCACCTTCTCACAGCGGATTTTACCTTTTTTTTTTTTTTTTTTTAGAAATTTAACCTTTTACAAAAAAAATTTCGATCCACGTGTTACAATAATACGCAATGAAGTGTTAAAAATTTCGTTGGGTCTTTCTTATCTAACGTCAATTGTTACATAATGACATGCTCATTTCTTTAGAATTTCTATTGCAATTTCTGCAAATTTTTTTATGCCCCCGTATCGAAGATTCGAGGTAAATAGTTTTTGCCCTGTCCATCCGTCTGTCTGTCTGTTTGTCCGCAAAAACTTTAACATTGCCCATAACTTTTGATTGATTGAAGCTATGGCTTTCATATTTCACATGTGTATTTCTTGTGACAAGACCTTTCTTTGGGTACCATCATTTTTTGACCTTGGAGTTTGACCCAGTTTTGCAAAATTTTACCGAACTTTAACATACTGTAAGCTCCCCGGGACTGGCCAAGCTTAAGTTGGGGACGCTACAAAATAATAACTGGCAGTGCTCCTGTACTAAAATCCTTGGTCCCTTGGTAATAGGGAAAACATAAGATTCATCTTGGTCTCAATAACATTTATTAATCATAATGCAGTTTCATTTATACAGGTACAATTAATATTGGTGGCGTCTACCGTACAGGCTACTATTATAAAAAGGGGGGGGGGGGTACAATGGCTATAGTAGGATGATCTCCAGAGTTAATTACAATAAAATAGGTGTCCAGTGTGTTGGGAGATAATTGTCGAACATTTTCTCACCTGGAATCACAATAGTATGGCTATGGTGAAAATATGGGCGGATCTTGGATCTCTACTTTGAATTTACACGCCTGACAACTCGGCAAATTATCTGATGACATAATGCGATCGCCCCCTATATATAACCTTCGGAAAAGGGTCACATGACAAGTTTCAACCAATACAAATGCTGTACGGCGACGTTCCACCAATCACGACAATGTACGACATCGTACAAAATAAAAATCGTGTCGTACTGTCAAACAAAGTTGTCGTACAATATGGATTATAAACAAACCCAGGAATTAAGTTGTGAAAAGACAAAATAATCAATAAATATGGATGACAAAAGATGTGTCTATAATAAGTAAGTAAACAATTTATCTCTGAAACTTGTGTGATGGTTTGGGCCGTGGATATCGGCCTGGGTAGCTCAGTAGGTAGAGCACCTGACTAGTGATGCAGGGGTCCCGGGTTCGATTCCCGGTCCAGCCATACATTTTCTCCTTTCCTGTTACAGATTTGGTGCCGTTGACCACCCCTGGACTTGCAGGTGAAAGTCCTGCCAGGGGCAAATAAGAACTTGGGTTGTGTCTTCGAGGGCGAAGACAAATTAAGGAGGGAGGAATGTGATGGTTTGGGCCGTGGATATCGGCCTGGGTAGCTCAGTAGGTAGAGCACCTGACTAGTGATGCAGGGGTCCCGGGTTCGATTCCCGGTCCAGCCATACATTTTCTCCTTTCCTGTTACACTTGTAAATTTCACAGAAGTAAACTTGCTGAGTATGCAGACGATATCGCGGACGGATAAAAATATAGTACAAGTTTTACACTTATGTAATCGGGAATAATAATTACTAAAATGAAAATTAGAAATCACAATAATAATTAACATAATTAATAGCAAGTAATTATGCCAGTAATGTAACATGAATAACATGAGGTTAAATACGAAACTAATCTACTTAACATGCACCGATAAAGATGGCAGACAGGATGTAAACAAGTTGCATGGCAGCAGATGATTTAAAGTGTTGCAGTTAATCTACACATAGAGAATTGCTAAAATAGTGACAGTTAACTCAAGAAATACATGCAGATTTAAGATGAAGGGTAACTAATTCATGGTATGTAAAAATAAATGCGAACATTAACATTCCTGACCAATTCTAGCACAACGTTTTGACACGCATGAAATAATATTACAAGTAAAGTCCACCCGCCCTACTATGATTACACAGTAAACCATAGTAAAATTTTAGACTTCTGACAGGTCCTTACAATACTTTAACATTGGCCGTAACTTTTGAACGGTTGGTGCTAGGGCTTTCATACTTTACTTATGTAATCCTTGTGACAAGACCTTCCTTTTGATACCAATAACTTTAACCCTTTGACCTTGACCTTGGAGTTTGGCCTACTTTTGGAAAACTTTAACCTTGGCCATAACGTTTGAATGGTTGGTGCTAGATCTTTTTATACTTCACATATGTAATCCTTGTGACAAGACCTTCGTTTGGGTACCAACAACTTTGACCTTGGAGTTAGACCTACTTTTGAAAAACTTTTTAACATTTAATACAATTTGTGCTACGGCTTTCATATTTCACTTGTGTATTTCTTGTGAGAAGGCCTTCCCTTGGGCACCATTAATTTTGACCATTTGACCTTGACCTTGATGTTTGACTTACTTTTGAAAAACTTTAACCGTCTCCATATCTATCCAATGGTTGCTGCTAGGGCTTTCATATTTCACAGGTACATTTCTCGAAACGAGACCTTACTTTGGGTAGCATCATATTTGATTTGCATTTGAGAAAGTTTAACCTTTACTATAAGTTGCCATACGGGGGCATCAGTGTTTCACAAACACATCTTGGTTTTTTTTTTTATTCGAAGGCAGTTTGAAATAAAAATATTCACCCTTCTAGTGCTTTAGTGTGAAAATATATCTTAAATTGCTTAATTTTGCTTGTTCCCGATTTGATGCTTTGCAACAATCTTGTTATTTACATGTACAATGGGTTAAAAAGCGATTTCATTAATCTCTTTTTCTTGTAGAGAGATCTCTTTCTTAGAAAAATCAAGGTAATAAATGCTTAATTTATACCTAAAATGACAGATTTTATAATTCAAATATATAAAGAAATTGATGGAATTCAAAGGTTTTGACCAAAACACAGGTAGTAACTGTTCCTTCGCCAAGCGCTCGGCACTGGAAGTGAAAGTCATGGGTCTTTTGGAACCCAAGTCCCGTGTCACGACGGTAGGCGTTTGCACGATGAAGAACCCTCACTGCTCAATGGCCCTGAGTGTCGAGTATAGGTCTAAATTTGAAACCCTTCACGGGTATATGGTGACGTTTCTACATGAGTGAAAAATTCTAGAATGGGGCGAAAAACTACATGAACATACAATCAATCAATCAAAATGGCGACCAGTTCCATTGAAACAATTGAAAATTTTAAATTTCATTTAATTCTCAGTAACTGCAGGGACCTATATACTAACCAATATCTTTTGAAGCATTAAAATCTTATTCTTTTGATCTGTACAAAATGGTTTCTGAAAAAAAATTAATCGGTTGGACATTTTTTTAACTTTATCGATGGAAACAAAAAGGAATAATTTTAAATGGATTTGTTTTCTCCAATTGTATTTCGTACTACGTGTACATAATATTTATGTGTAAGTGCCTCTCCAAGATTCTGGTGTTTAAATATCCGAAATAGATGTCTTTGCCATGGAACTAAAAATGGGTCATTTATATATAAAAATTTGAAAATTTGCAAAACTTTAAGGGATCGAGTATTTAATTGTTTCTGCTTTCAAATCCAATATAACACCGATGGGGTCGAGGGAACAAACTTATGCTTTGACTTACAAAAGCAGTATTTCTTGTTTTCTTTTTGGCTTTTTTTTCCTTTGCTTGATTTAAATACTCACAAAATGGCACGTGAAACCTATCAATAACATAGATTTTAGAATTTTCTCACACACTCTTTGTAAAAAGGATGGATCCATAGATGAAGTACTGGGCCTTTAGCATGTTAAGAGGGCAAATAAATTATCAAATCACTTAAAATTCTTGAAGAAACAGGTACCGAGAGAGGGTGTTGAGACATCCAGTCTTACGACTTTATGAGTGACTAACTTTACAATTTCCCATGAGTTAAAATTTTGTGTTGATACTCAATGATTTGAACTATATACATGTATTTTTAGTTTTTATACTAAATTTGACAATTCTTGAGTCCAAAACACTCATATAACCATTCCAAAATCATCTGACTTTCATAAAACTTTATGCAAATTATTGTCGATATGATTTAAGCATTGATAAAAGAGGGGAAATCCTTCTCTGAGAAAGAAAGATTGGGCAAAGAGACATCGCTGCCTCTCCGACGACACGGCCGACTCAAGAATTTAAAAGGAAATCACCTGTTTCTATTTATAGATATACCTTTTCAATTCATTTTCATAGTTGCAAATATGTCAAATGACATTCATTTAATTGGTTCAATACTCTAATTCTGAGACAAAAGATTTAGAAAATCAATAAAAATAAAACAAGTAGCTATGAATTTACAAACTTTAAAGCTATATATGGCGTATCTGAGCTAAGAAAAAAATAAAATAAAAATACGAGATTGAGTGAAGATAAACGTGATATATGTTTTTTACGTTCAAATGAAAATTTTCACCGATTTTGAACTTGAATAACCTAATGTTTCCATAGTTAAATTGATTTTAAACTGTGTCTGTTAATTAAATGCGGAGTCGTTAAATAAATTGGATATTGTATTAAATTTCTAATACCTGTGAAACGTGATTGATTTTAATTGTGTAAGATACAGGAAAGTCATATCTTTATATAAAGTAATAAAACAAATAGAAAGATCTTTTTTAATTTTAGTTAAATACGCCATATATGACTTTAATAAAATAGTTTAGGACTGTCTTTTCCCGAGATACTTTCAAAGTGTAATGTGTATTTTATAACTTCCTGAAATTATGTATATTATAAAACGTAATAAAGAAAAACGTAGAAAAGATATACAAAGAAAAAAAATTAAAAAAGCATAAATGGAAAAATGTGGGGCTCGAACCCGCAATCACCATACCGATATTTATATTCCAGCAATTATACCACTGCGCCAACGAAGTCAATGACGTCGAAGGGATAAATTTAAGGCAGATTGCTAAATCTTACGATTATATGAAAAGAAAATATGAATATATATTTTCATCATTTTCAATATGAAGACCACCTTTAACCAAAATTATCTAAATGTAATGAAGTGCAGTGATATCCAAATAAATTTAATTATTCAAAAGTCGTTTTTCTGGTTAAGGGTGGTCTTTGGCAACAGTGTGTCATCTTTAGGTGGATACCTCAATATTTACTATACACTCCATATAAACTGGAAAAGTTTTATATTTATCATATGAAGGAACTATCAATATTGAAATATCATTATTGTGTGGTTTGGTTTTACGTATGTATAAACTAATATTGTATGACAAAATTTTGGTTAAACAATCAATTTAAGAAATCACTAGTAGAGTAGGCGATAATGCCTATCAAATGCGCTATGGCTCAAATTTGGCTCTAGTGTGAGATTTCACCTTGGGGGACCCTACTCTAGAGTACAGATTCCCGGGGAAAAGCTGGCTTTGGGGGATATCCTACTCTACAATACCAGTAATCAGTCACCTGAGTATAATACAACATATTTGACCTATCATGCAATTACATTATTTACTGTAATTAATTATCATAAGTAAATAGCAAAGGGGAATAACTTCTCTAAGTAGAGTACAAATTTCCCTACAATATTAGTATTAATAGAGCCCTGCCCGACACCAGAAAACATGACCCAGTGGTCAAGAATCAATAAAGCCCCACCCTAATACAAGAACTCCTGACCCTGGGGCCTTGAATTTCACAATTTCAGAAAAGGCATACTTGCTTATCATAACTTTGCACTTAGTTTATCTGCTAAATTCTCAGAAGCAGAGATTTTCAAAGTATTTCTGCATTTTAACTATATAATCAAAGGAGTACCATCCTAACAGAACTCCTGAAACTAGGGCTATGATTTTTGCAATTTTAGAAGAGACATACTTGCTCAACAAAATCATGTACTTACTTTTTTTGCTAAATACCCAGGAGCAGAGAATATTTTTAAAGAAATTATGCAGTTTTATTATTTGATCAATACAGTCCCACCATAACTCCAGAACCCCTGATCCAGGGGCCATGAATTTCACAATTTTGGTAAAGGACTTGATGTTTATCACAATCATGCCAACACTTTAACGGTTTGATGTCCAGGAGTAAAGAAGATTTTTTAAATCTGAATCAAATTTGATTGCTTTAGCTCCACCCTTCAGGCCCAAAGTGGGGCGGGGATCATGAATTCAAAAATTTTGTTCCCCTTCACCCATAAAGCCACACACTAAAACTGGTTGAAATTGGTTCAGCAGTTACAGAGAAGAAGATGAAAATGTTCAAATGTTGACGCACGACTGACAACGGACAAAAACAGATAGCACTAGGTCACCTGAGTGACTCGGAGACCTAAAAAGTAAGAAGCAAATAGAATATGTTTGATTTTTTTTTATTTTCTGACAGCCATATCAAAACACATACACGTTTCAAGTTCATGTACATTCATTTTTTGCCCTGTATCACAATGATGAAATTTCGAAAATAATTTTGCCTATGACATTTGAAGTAAAAAAAATCCAATCTTCTTACTCTGAGGCAGCTTCAAAGAATACTTTTTATGAAAAAAAAATTTATTACAAAACGAAAATAGTTATCTAAAAAAATAAAAAAATAAAAAAATAACAACTGGAGTATTAAGACATGCAAGAAGGTGAATTTGAAAACAAGACAGAAAGTATTAAAGCATATTTTTAAATAAACACTGCACACCCACTGACTTCAAAGATATCTGAAAACATTTCCTGCTGGTAAAATTACAGTAATGTAAATAAAAAAAAAAAATCTTGACTTTGACTTAATGCAATAAAGAAATTGAAATTTAGTTACATCATTTTGACAAAGCATAGCTATGATAAACAATTTTTTTTCAAACGTGAAGAATTCTTTAAATATACAGATATATTGCACAAAATAAAAAGCAAGGTTTAAAACTTTTCAAATAACAAAAAACTTTGATCACAGAAGGAGCTATAATGTACAAGGAACACGTCAAAATGTGTCTAGAACAATGAACAAATAAAGCAACATGCTGGACGGGGAGTTCTCTCACATCACTGACAGAACTTTATATAAATCCGTAGTATATTAAGAATAAAGTTAATTCTCACAAACACATAGCTATCAGTGAATAACTAAAAAATCAAACAAATACAAGTGTAGGAGACTGATGTAATTAAATAAAAATGACATAAACAAAATAAAATTCTATATACAATATATATGTATACATATAAACTATGGATTAACAAATTCAGTAAACTTAAATACTAAACAGGGGTTTTCAAATCACTAAAAATCATTCCCTTCTGACAACTCATCTTCTAAGAACTACATTAAGTCAGTATTGTCACTCATAACAGTATTTGCATACATAAAATTCAATTTAAAATTGAAAACTACATTTAGAATCTGCCATCAGAATGAATACTATTCATGAGATTATTGTGATTTATTCCTCAAAATAAGAGATTTTTTTTTCTTCATTTTGTGAAAATGTCGTGCATGCATCAGTATAAATTGAGACTACACTTAGAATCTTGATTTCCATATTAAGAGATGTCTTGTTTAACAGCCTTTTTTTCTTGAAAAGATAGGATGCAAACATCAACCGCTCAACTCAAAAACTAATTCTGCCATAAAATATTAGACAAAGGCAGTGAAAAGTGTAAATGCAATATCCCTAGGATATACTAGAGTTTAACATAATTTCCCAACCATACATAATAAACCTCTCCCAATAATGCATACAATTCATAACAAATATATTGGTTCTACTGAGTATAACATGAATAATATCTTGGTAACTATTGTCATGTTTTTTATCACTATTTTGTTCTCATTCAGTGAGTACAAGGACAACCTCAGATCTTAGGAGAGCTACTTTCACTGCACATGCTCAGACATCGGATTCCACAGAGACAGGATTCTCTGCATCATCACTGTCTTCTGGATGGAGGTCAAACCTGCAAAGTCACAAACATATATACAGTGTAGTCACAGGGTAATTATTGTAATGGGTAAAAGATTAAGTCACAAACATATATACTGTAGTCACATGGTAATTATTGTAATGGGTAAAAGATTAAGTCACAAACATATATACTGTAGTCACATGGTAATTATTGTAATGGGTAAAAGATTAAGTTACAAACATATATACTGTAGTCACATGGTAATTATTGTAATGGGTAAAAGATTAAGTCACAAACATATATACTGTAGTCACATGGTAATTATTGTAATGGGTAAAAGATTAAGTCACAAACATATATACTGTAGTCACATGGTAATTATTGTAATGGGTAAAAGATTAAGTCACAAACATATATACAGTGTAGTCACATGGTAATTATAATGGGTAAAAAGATTGAGAAAAAATAGAAAATGGTTCAGTTTTAAAATGAGACTCTTAAAATTAAACCTTTCTTTTTTATCACTTTCAATCTGCCCCTTAAAGCCTTAATGTTACATGAACTACAGGTAAAACAAATCCAATATTTACGAAGAAATAAAAACCTTGAATATTACGTTTGGAAACTTCATAACCAATGACTGTAGTTAGAGAGGAATAAATACCTCTAATCTCATACATGTTTCATTGCATATAATGATTGTATATAATGATTGGTAACTGTTTCTTTGTATGTGTAAGTAATGCTGGCCAATCAACGTGTTTTAACTAAGGATAGGAGATCAATCAACCATATCTTTTGTTTAAAAATAGGGAATTCATTCTCCAAGTTTCTTTTTTTATATCAGATGATTGGAAACATCATGATTAAGTGTTTTAGAGACAGGCAGAGAATAAATCTGCCCCCCCCCCCCCAACAATATGTGCATTTTGGTGTACAGAGCAGAGGGCTATTTTTAAAGATGGGAGAATTATCATTAAAGTATATTTGATGTACATACTGATGAGGAAAGGTTTTCAAGATTAATGTGTTTTAACTAAGGATGGGAGGAATCCTTGTGTCATTTTATCATACATATTTAAATGTTAATGATGGGAAAATATTTTGTCAACATTTTTAGACATGGTGGATGAATTTCTCAGGACACTTTATTGATATATCATATTTAAAAAAAAAATCAATATAGTTACAAAAAAAACAACAACAAAGATTAAGAATCCAGTATATACATGTACATGTATCACTGTGAATTATACAGAGGAACCATATGTCACATGTACCTTACATAATTATGAAAGGTTTTTTTTAAATGTCTTTACTAATAAACCCTACAACATGGATTTCCTTTATCATTCAGGACTACATTAAATATTTCTGTCTCTACTGGGTACATACCACTCTGTGGCAGCTTTAGAGATGTCCATTTTAGACAGGTCAATAGTCACCACACCCATTACTTTGATATTAGAGGAGAAATAACTGGTGTCATTCCTGATGGTCAGCTCCAAGTCACGACCTGCTATATCCTCCTGCTTCAAGGGAAATTCAAACCTAAAATGAATATATACATATGCAGAAAATTAAATTATCAAATCTTAATCTCTGATTCTGCTGGACTCTTAGTTGAAACAGAAAATGCATGGTTATCATATATGGACACTTAGGCAGAAGATGCTTGATAAGCCTTGATAAGAAAATCCCAATTTCCCCCTTTGCTCACATAAACTTATTGCTTTTAAATGAAAATCCTTGCATACAAGTATTTATTATTAACATTCTTATTACTGATATATAACTACTCTGTAACAAACTTAGGCAAAAGGTTTTCAACTTACGTTTCATCAAAGACAGGATTCAGGTTGTTTTTGACGATTTTTGTTTTCCGTTTGCCACTACTGGACTTGTCAGGAAGAAGGTACATTTTCACGTAAGGATCTGCCAAGTTGTCACTGTCACACGGCAGCAAATTCCTGCAAAATAAAGGCTACATATGAAAACACAGTGTGCTGAAATGTTGCATCAATACATGTAGTAACAAAACATTTTAGAATTGCCTAATGACATTAATACTAGGGCTCAGCATTAACTAAAAATTCCACTTGTCCATGGGAGAAGTTGTCAACAAATGTTCAGATTTCATTGTTTACTTGTCCCATTCTAAAGAGGTATAAAAAATTAGTAGAACTTTATTTCAAGAATGAAGTAGTATAATTAATTTTGACTTACAGAGATTTGTTTCATCATGAAAATAAAAACATTACTAATTTAAATACATTAGCACTGTTAGCATGAAACCATCTTTATTGAGCTCATCCAATATCTGGTGACAATTGAGTGAGCCCTTAAGATTTAATTAACGTGTCATATTTGATTTGTGATATACCGTATAAGATGAATTCTAAGGGTATTTACAATATTCCATAATGTAACAGTAAGTAACAAGTGTGTCTGAAGATTGACTTGTTCAATCACAAAATGAGCTGGACACAGACAAACAAACTTTAATTTTGAGTCCTGAATGCCACCAGGGAGCAATTAACTTAAAGAGAGCATAGTTTGAAACAGCTTTAAACTCTTCTACCTTGCAAAATATTACACTGCAAATCTCTGTGGCCTAAACTGTGTTTCAATGTAATTGAAGGCTGTAACATGTCTGGTTGTGAGCAACTTTAGTGGTGTGCATGACAGTCCTACAGTGACTGTCCATAAAAAATCATGGCCAAAAGAACATCTAACTTCTGAGCCAGGGGTTGAAATTTCCCTGGAAAACGCACTAGCCCAAGGGCTACTGATAAGTAAAAATCACTAGCCCAAACCTCAAACTAACTAACCCAACAATTTTTTATGCAAAAATGAAACATAACACAAGAAAATGTTTTAAAAGCTTTGGTGACAGAAACAAGTTAAACCGGTTCTCATTCAAAAGAACCATTCTGCATAGAAAACAAAAGTAAACTGATGAGAATTTTTTTTCTGGTCTGCTAGTTCGACAGACTATAATTACATTTTAATAAATAAACTAGCCCGAGTCTTGAAACGTTTAGCCCCGGACGTCGGGCTACCGTATATTCTAACCCCGTCTGAGCCATGTGACCATTACCTTATCCAAATAACCTTGGCTAGGAATAATGACAGATCTCTTGGGCACAAGCAACCTGTGTGTCAATAATGACCTCTTGATACTCTTTCAAAGCAAAGTTGTGTCTTTTGGAATTTAACATAATTATATCCAAATTCCTACTGAATATGTGACCTTGACCTGTCACATTTCTTCTGATCATAATCAACCCTCAAGCCAATTTATATGTGAATACCAGTATTCTTCACCTTGTCCAGATGACCATGGTGTAGGGTTGTTACACCTCTGGTCACAAGCAACCTTTGTATATTAAGTAAAATAATCTGTTGATGTAAGGTCTCTCTGCAGATGTGGTGTACAATTAAACCTTTAAAAGGCATTTTTTAAAATATATTTTTAGAAATAAATCTGAAAATACCAGGTGATATGTTCAAATAGTATTTAAAAGTACAGTGTATATTATTTCTAAAATGTTGTCAAAATAAAAAGATTTAGAGATAATCTCCATACAAAAAGATGTCTAAATACAGATAGTAGACTTTAGTTAGTTATTCCAAACTTGAGTTTGCATGGGGTATAACAATTAAGCAAGATACTATTGTACAGATACTCACAGACATTTATGAACCACCACCACTAGTTTCTGTCTTTGAGAGCTGTATCTGAAGGTCAACTGAATCCTTCCTCTTCCATACGCACCTCTGGTATCGGACCTAAAAATCAACCAGGCAAATACAGAGAAAGGTACCATAACACAATGGTCAATCTGTTCAAAATAATCAACATTTCTCCTGTGAGATTTTCATTTTGGTTACTGTGACTTATAAACTGTTTGTTGTATTCATATTCTCACAATATTTCCATTATTCTTCACTGACAAAGACTTGTAACTCTAATTTAGGTAAGGCGTGTTGTATGATGGAGAGGGTGTTACACTGCCTCAGTGCTACTCACTCAGCTGGGGCTGGGGAGGACTTGGTTTTCCTCTGTCTGACCTCAGTACTGGTTACTGTCTGGGGGCCAGTGTTGGTGGCAGGAGGAATCACTTGTCCCTCAGGCTTTGCTGCATTGACCTGTGTGACATCCACCTTCTTAATGGTAGGACTGGGTTCATTAGCAGTTGCTGATTTTGAGGGCTGAGATTTTTGGGCAGAGTCTGATGTGGATGGGGTCACCTTCTTCTGAGATGTGGGTGGATCTACAGGGGTGGATGTGGCTTCTTTGTCCTTTGAAGCAGGGGGATCCACACTGCTAGAGTTTGTGTTCAGCATGCTACCCTCACTTCTCCAGGCTGGGTTGTTTTCTGTTGTCAAGATCTAAAGCAAAGGACAGAAATTTCTCCTCTTTAACAAATAAGTATCTTGCTTTATCTAAAGGCAGTACCTTTTGTAAAATCTATAAGAAAGTTACAAATGAAATACCTCTGGATTATTCATGAAAAGTAAAGTAGTGATATTGATATTGGTGTGTCGTGTTTGACAAATTTCTAAGACATTGGAAAACTTACTCTTAGAGACAGTCTCATGTTGATCTTGCTATCCAATCCTGAGTTCTTGAGAGCAAAATCTCGGTCAAGAGTCATGTCAGGGGCAGATAACAAGGTTTTCAAAGGAATATTTAGATCACCCAAGGAATCTTTTGGACTCTTCTTGTCAAAAATCTACAAAAAAAAAGATAAAATTCTATTTCATTATTATTTTTTATATTTTTAATTTCAGTTGCCATCTAAGGATTCTTCATCCACAGACATTATATGACTCAGATTCAAAATGGTAGTTGAATCTGGAACCGCTAAGATTAATAAACTTTTTTAAAATGAATCAGAAATAATTTTATAACATTTTCACTGACCTGAATGTCCAGCTTCTGAATTTGGGGGTTCTGAACCAGGAATCGGAATGGCTTCTCCCACACAGGACTATCTGTGTTGGGCTTTTCTTCTGTCTCAAAAGTCTTCGGTCCAATGGAGAGAATTACAAAAGGACTCGGTTCAGCTATCTGTTTCTTTACTCTCTGTTGATTTAAGATACAAATCATCTTTAATTTTTTTAACTTGATATCAAAGCAAAATTGGACAGAAAAAAGAATTATCTAACATACACAAATCTTTACCTTATAAGGACACATATATTTTGATAACATTATAACCTAGCTTAGTCATCACTGAAACTATAATAATATCTACTTAATCATCAATAAAACTGTAATTATTATAACTTAGCCATCAATAAAATTATAAAAATATCCACTTAATCATCAAAAAAACTAATTATTTTAACTTTGTCATCAATAAAACTGTAACAAGAGATGTTAAAATGTGAAACACTTATGTGCCCCCCCCCTCCCCCCCCCCCCCAAATAACTGGAATTATTCTAAGTCCAAAGGGCATAACTCTGTCAGAAATTGCTCAATTATACCCAAAACAGAACTTAGCCTAGTAGATATTCTTATGATAAATCTGTATACCAAATTTCATTTCAGTATGTGCAACCTCTGCGAAGAAAATGAACGGAAACTGTTGATGGACCGACAGACAGCAGCAAAGCAATATGCCCTCCCTTCTTTGAAGGGGGGGGGGGGGTATAATTATATCAACTTAGTCATCAATAAAAATGTAATTATTTTAACTTAGTCATCAGTAAAACTGTTATTATTTTAACTTAGTCATCAGTTAAACCTGTAATTGTTTTTAAATAGAGATCACTTTTTACAACTTTTAGGCAACTTCGAAACATAAATCACTGTTTCCTATAAGATTGTCAGCAATGATTTGTTAATATAAATATTTCCCCATTTGGTGTACTTAGTTTTACTTGAAACATTATTGTCATAGGTCAGAAAAATTTTATAGCCGAGTGCAGAGGGTTTGCCTGAAATAAAACATATTTTCTGAGATAATCTTTCAGCATACATGCATGATCAGTAAACAATTCATCTAGAACAATCAGAAAAAAACAACAAAGAGTACAAACTTAAATAAAAAGCAACATATTTTTTTACACAGAGAATTTATTAATTTTAATTTAATAAATGTAACATTTCCAACTGAATGAAACCTTTTTCTTCAATATATAGTAATGTAACATACCCATCTGAATAATTTCTAAAGAGAAAAATGAATTCCAACTAATAAAATCATCCTCACTTGGATTATCATTATACACAAAGAAAAAAAAAGACTGAAAAGAAGAAAGTCATTATACCTTGGAAAATGTTTAACACACTTTGTAAAATCTATTTACACTAATCTACAAGTAGTTTTTATCATAATTAAATATTTAAAGCAGGAAAAAGATGAAAAATCTTTGTAGAATATATAAAATGCATAAAGAGATCTACATAGAATAAATATTTTTTTTTATACATGTGTTTTCTACACTGCAGAGGGAATGAAATGTAAAAGTTTCTTTGATTATATTACTCAAATAAGCTTATGTTGATGAAATTACACAATCTGTTTGTTGATGGGCAATTATACAGTAGGTCATTTACTTCATATCTTGTGAACTAATAAAAATTTAAGTGTGTAAATATTTCACAAATTAATTTTCTCCACATCATTTTACCTTCCTGTTTTTTGGTAAGTTTAACCCTATATATTTTGTATGCTATAACTTTCTAACAGTATGTAAAGCATCAATGTACTATGTACTGTTATGGCACTATACAGAACTATCCACAGACCATAACTACTTCATGTTATGTAATCACAGTCTTTGGACACTTTGGGGAGACTTGGATTTTTAAATACTAGACTTTGTAAGCACAAAGTGCAATTGTCTTGCCATTGTCTCCATGTCAACAGAAACAAAATCATTTACCTACTGTGAATAGTCAGAATCAAAAATTGTGTTCTTTTTCACATATTAAAAATATGCAGAAATAGTAGTAAAGATTTTAAATAAAAACATCTTCCCTTTGTGTACTAGGCAATGTGTCGAAATTTTGATTATTATCTTGGTGTAAAATAAACTAGACTTCACAAAGTAATGATTATTACTGGCTTCATGTGTAATGCAATATTTTCTAGTACAACCTGAATATGTGTACATGTAGACTACCTTAAATGCTGCCAAAAAAGGGATAATGGGTTAGTCTCAGAACAATTAGTCATTGTGCCACATCTAACTGCATGACCATGCACATCTGTTAATCATTTTGTAAGAGTGGAAGACAGTGCAAGTGTCAATCAGTTGGTATGACAAAAACCAGCAAACTCAAACATTCGATGGAAACATATTTTTGTAAGAATGGTGAAAAGTCCCTTCTTGAAAAAGAGTTTATCAGGGTAGCATGACATAAAATTAAATGTTTTTGTTGATATGATTTTGGTCTATGAAGCATCACCCATACATCCTCAATTCTTGTATTATCAGTACTAATTATACAGCAACATTTTAATTTTTTCTAATTATTATTACTGGTAACAAATTTATAGCACATGTACTAATTATTATTTTAAAAAATACTCTAAAGTGCCGCACATAAAATTAAAAAAAATATATGTATAGATATTTAGTAAGAAAATAAAAAATCATAATAATACTAGTGTTTAGAAACAACAACTAATTTGAAAAAATAATATAAAAATTAAGAAAATGGATTGAAGAATAAAAATCTCTCAATACATAAAAATTTAGAAGTACTACCAGAAATGTTTACATGTCCTGTGAAAGTAAAGTATAATCAAAACAGTAATAAAAAAAATTAATTGAAAAGAAATATGTCCCTAGGACATGAATGGCCCACCCATGGTTCATAAGTAAAGCAACAAAATTTGTACTAGTGTATTAAGTTTGATGAAAATATCTTGAATAGTTTCTTTAAACAAAAACTGGACACAGTTGATAAAGTCTTACCAAATAATGTATCAGTGCATCTATCTTGAATACTGTATGTGTACTAAACAAGAGGCCCAAGGGCCTTAAAGGTCACCTGAGTATAATACACCAATTTATAGGATCCACAGAGTATAAAATGAACTGAAAGGTGAAGCTTTGTTGCCCAAAAGCAAGAAAAATAGGGTGATCTGGATCAACAAAATAATTAGTCTAGTATTCATTAACAGTACATAAATTAGGTTCTAATCTGTTCCCCATTTATCACTCTCACCAGACAGTATATAAACAAACTTATAATCAGTGCTTCTGTACTCTTTTAATTCCTTGTTGAAATCTCTTACATTGGCCTCTCTTGGTCTTTGATGAACATTTAATAAGACAAGTTATTTTTGTCTCATTTTTATTTATCTGTTACTTACAAGTCTACCTGATCATTAAAACTATGAAAGTACTTTTTGTATTATACAATAAAAATTCTTGCATAATTCTCTTATTCTATTAACCTTTCAAGTACATTATTTACAGTGATTAATTATCACAAGTATATGGCAAAGGGGAATAACTCCTCTCAGTAGAATACAAATTAATAGAGCCCTGGCCTGGACCAGAACACTTGACCAAATGGTTCTGATGTTCAAAAATCTGGTAAAAATACCCTTCCTTATTAAAACTTTTACTCTTTTTGCCTCTGATATGCCCAGGTGCAGAGAAGATTTTTAAAGCATTAATGTATTTTCACTATATAATAAATAGAGCCCCACCCTAATATCAGAACCTCTGATCCAGGGGTCATGAAATTCACAATTTTGGAAGAGGCATCCTTGCTTATCATAACCAGGTATTTGTTTAAATAATACCCAGGAGAAGAGAAGAAGATTTTCAAAGAAATAATGCACTTTCACTATATGATCTATATAGCCCTGCCCTAGCACCAGAACCCCTGACCCTGGGGCTATGAATTTCACAATTTTGATAGAGTCACTCTTGCTTATCATAACTATGTATTTAATTTGTTTATATAATACCCAGGAGTAGAGAAGAAGATTTTCAAAGAAATAATGCACTTTCACTACATGATCTATATAGCCCTGCCCTAGCACCAGAACCCCTGACCCTGGGGCTATGAATTTCACAATTTTGGTAGAGTCACCCTTGCTTATCATAACTATGTATTCAATTTGTTTCAATAATACCCAGGAGTAGAGAAGAAGATTTTCAAAGAAATAATGCACTTTCACTACATGATCTATATAGCCCCGCCCTAGCACCAGAACCCCTGACCCTGGGGCCATGAATTTCACAATTTTGGTAGAGTCACCCTTGCTTATCATAACTTTGTATTCAATTTGTTTCAATAATACCCAGGAGTAGAGAAGAAGATCTTCAAAGAAATAATGCACTTTCACTATATGATCTATATAGCCCCGCCCTAGCACCAGAACCCCTGATCCTGGGGCCATGAATTTCACAATTTTGGTAGAGTCACTCTTGCTTATCATAACTATGTATTCAATTTGTTTCAATAATACCCAGGAGTAGAGAAGAAGATTTTCAAAGAAATAATGCACTTTCACTATATGATCTATATAGCCCCACCCTAGCACCAGAACCCCTGACCCTGGGGCCATGAATTTCACAATTTTGGTAGAGGGCTCAATGCTTATTACAATCATGCTAACAGTTTGACTGCTTGATGTCCAGGAGTAAAGAAGAAGATTTTTAAAGATTGCATTAATTTTGATGGTTTTGGCCCCAACCCTCAGGCCCCAGGGGGGCAGGGGCCACGGATTTCATAATTTTTGTTCCCCTTCACCCATAGATGCTATATGCTAAAATTGGTTGAAATTGGTCTGCTGGTTCCAGAGAAGAAGCTGAAAATGTTCAAAAGTTTACGAATGACTACCGACGGACGACGACGGACGAAAAGAGATAGCAATAGGTCACCAGAGTGACTCAGGTGACCTAAAAAAGCGGGCTTCATATTTTAGCGGCTTTGGCACAGACAATGATGCGCTAATTCATGAATACCTCTAAGAAATCATTTACTGATACAATTCACGGCACAGACATGTGTAGCACTAATTCATGATTATGCCAACAACTCCAACCTCTTGATTGCGCTAAATTTTGAATGCGCCAACTTATGTACATGTAGTTTCTTTGCAGCTAAGCTAATTGCAAATTTAAGAAAAGTGAAGTCAAGGTAAAAGGAAAGGTCAAGGTAAAAAACTATTGAAGTTGAATATCTCTCATCGATGTGTATTAGCATATAAAGGTTGATAAAATATTCTCAATAGTTTCTTTGAAACTGAGCTAAATGCAAAGAGTGATGGAAGGATGAAAGGACTGAAGATGGACATGCATGACAAACACTATATATCCTGGCCATTGTGGGGGAGGGGGGGCTAAAATATTTTATTATACTAATTAACACTTAAAAGTTTGGATATGTGATTGTAAAAAAAAAAAAAAAAAAAGTAATTTTAATGTTTTTTTAAAGAAAGTAATTTTCTCTCAAGTTTTCGGGCAGACCGTTCTACAGCGTAGCACTGGACATATCAAACCACCAGCATCGATACATCTTGGTTTGCACAGCAGCTGAAGTTTTTGTTCACTGCCCACTGGAGTGGGTCATTGTAGTGCAACATATACTGATGATGACTTAATGATGACTTTTGTAAGCCAACTATAATTTGACATATATTGTATATTTTTCTAATTTTGAAATGGTTGGTCTGTGGTGTGAAAATCCACTTGGAACAGTTACATGCATTATTAATATTAGCTCATCCTTTACTGCATAAACATAAGGTATTTTCAGAAATGCTTTATCATGATAAATATTTGTGAATGACATCAAAACTTTCACATTCTTGTCTGCAAATTTAAGTTGGTTTACAGTGATTGAGAACTGAAGGAGCCTTAAAGTTAATACACACGCTTATTATTTATGTTTGCTAGCTATAAAAGGTTGTATAGATTCAAAACTTGTGTGTGTTCTGTAATTACCTTGGAACTCTGTGGAATATAATGCATAAAACAGCATAAAATCTATCTCTCTCTTAAAATCATAGTACAGAAACCTCTCAAATAAAACATATGTTCAAAATAAACAAACTCTTCAATTTTCATAATTATATCTAACAAACATACTTTGATTACATAAAATGCCTGAGACTTGAATAGAATCCATAAATGACAGAACAAAACTTAAAGTAAAACATTTCTCCTACATGCACATAATAAACTGGACACAACATGAATATAGACATGTTAATTTAACCATACTCATAAGTCAATATTCAATTGTCTCGACAACAGATTAACAGATAAATACGCAAAAAGTATATCAATTACAAATTATTAATGGATCAAATACTAATCTAATATATATATATATATATATATATATATATATATATATATATATATATATATATACCGGTATATCAACTTGGTACTATATATCATGTATATAGAATACTTACAGGTAAGTCTCTGGCAGAGTCCAGGTTAACCATAAGGACACAGGTGGCAAGTTCAGAGGTTGTATCTGTCTGTTTCATAGTCTACAAAATAAAATATGTACGACCTTGAAAGATACGAACATGCGTATTTATACAAGCATAAATTTTAAAATATCTGGTTCCCAAACTCTGTGAAATTGAATAACAAACTCAATAGTATTAATAGTTAATACTTCTAAAGGTCTTGTCAAAGTATATGTACTTAAAGATTTCAGAAAGATATACATGCACTTTAATTTGACAGTTTTTATTTGCAAACACAAAATCATTGTAAACATGTGTGTTACATATGTATCATTTAAAAGAGTGCGCATCCACTGATGTTACTGTAGGAATTGGGTCAGAATTGTAATATACACTGTACGTGAGTTATGAACATGGCTTACACAGATTTGATGTAAATAAATCTATTGTAAGCAGTAATCTGACAGTCATTAAGTGCCATATGGTGCTCCAAAAATTTTCTGACTTCTAACCTATCACTAAATATCTAAAGATGTATGTCTTTACTTTTTAAAAACTATTTTCATTCTTTGAATTGAATATGAAGACACCAACTTGAAAAGTAAATGTAGTATAACTGAAGTTGGAATGTGGATAACCTTGACATTCTGACCTTCAAATTTACACATGGACATCAAAGTTTTAAGACTTCTTCCATTAAAACTATCTTTCATCTAGGTACTTATTCTAAAGTCTACAGGTTAAAAGCACTTTATGGAAGATAGATATATAGACAAATATTTACTAAAGGCACCCAAGGACGGTGCAATGTCTTCAGTAATGAATGATCTTTACACAATAAATAATAAGACTGCAATTTTTTATTTTAAATACTTCTAAATTCAACTAAAAAAATAAAATACAGAAAAAGTTTATCTGTTGTGCAAATAAAATTTTATCAAACAAAAATTTATCTCAGTTTATTATGATGTACGACTGTATATAAAACCAATAAGTAATTCTAAGAATACACTAGACTATATCTAGTCTAGCTAATTTCCGCATATACCTGTACAAGATTTTCAGTCATCATAAAAAAGTATAAAACTGGTGGTGGAAAGTGAGTTCTAGTGTGTAAAAGTGATATAAATGTATGTTTATAAAAAAAAATGTTTCTTCAAGAGGCACACAACTAATTCAAAAAAGTTTAAATTGAATTGTAACATCCAGAAAACACTTCAAATAAAAACATCAATGACATCTCCTTGTTAGTGTTCAATATATTCTCAATATTACTTTTTAATGAATTTAATATATCATGATCAAATGAAAATTCCAATTCAAATAAAAATGCCTAAATCACAGAGTATTATCGTTGCACTATCAAAAACTTTTTTTTTTTAATTATTTTTTTTAAATACTTGAAGAATACAAAAATTAAATTAAATACTCAAAAAGTATTTTTGTATTAGATTTCACCATTTTTTTCTGAATCTATAAAAAGTTTCATTCACAGTACATTCCTTTCCAATCAGACCAAGATTTAAAAAAGAAAAACTCTACAACCTAATGCTTTAATTCACAAAAAAAGCATATAACAGAGAACAATACTGGATTTCTTCACTTTCTGAAAAATAATGTTGGAGACTGACATTTGAAAGCTTGATCAATTCAATGCACAATCAATGCAAACCTTCTTTATTGTTAGCAGATGATATTTTGATCTTCCTTTCCAAATTAATCTCAGATTAAATCACTATGTTCAGGCAGTTTTTATTGCAACATGTTGATATACTTTTTTAATGAATTGATAAATCAAGTTTGCTCTTTTATCTTTGATGTAAGGAAATTTGACTGGATTTTTTCACACAAAATGTAAAGTAAAATTGTATCATAATAGCATCCTTGCCATGAAAATGATGAAAGAAAAATGAAAAAAGGAACTTGTAAACTTGGATGAAAGGGGAAAAACAATTAGCATGCATTCTTCAGTTATAGTGTCTAAAAGCAAATACAAGTATTTTTAAATTCCAAAAATGCTTGACACTTACCATAAGTTTTAATTTTCAAACAGAAAAAAAAATTAGAAAAAGAAACATGTATCAACTAAAAGCAATACTTAATAATTAATATCTATAAAAGAAAACAGAATAAATCAGAGCATTAACTAATAGCAATAAATCAGCAATGGACCTTGAATTCTGCATTTTTAAACAATTAGTGTGAACAACTTAAGAATTACAAGAAGACATACATGTAATACCTGGACATAAAAGTTATTTTCAAAAGACATACATGAAATTTAAAGATAACTTTTTATGTCAAAGTTCAAATCTGTGATACCTTACTGTCATTTTCAAAAAAATCAGAAGAGTTCACAGTCTATTGGTTTTCCTGTTACATATACTACAGTGTAATTTGTTTTTAACTGTAAATGTTCACACTTATCTAAATTTGGTGATGTATCATAAAATCCCTTTTAACTACCCCGGGCGCTTAGAAAATTGTGAAAAGAGGGCAGTTATTTTAGTATTCTCATCATAATATTTAATGTTATATTTTAACTTCAAGAAATCTTTTGAGAAATTCAGAGAACCATGAAATATTTGTCTTACTTTCCTTTACCATAAGATAATCCTGACAAATAATGCTCAATGATTTCTTTTTCCACCGAAAAAATTAGAGAATACACAAGGAGAACAATTGTAGGTAACTTTCAATTTCAGAAATACATAATTAGGTTGTTCTAAAAATCTTTCACTTTCAGGAATACTTTACATACAAATTACCCAATTAACGAGTTTCATTTTCACTTTTTCCAAATACTTTGGATTTCCATTACTGGAACTCCTCAAATTGGAGGCACATTTGGTCATTTGACTGGGACAAACATGACATATCGGAGAATACAAAACATGCCGATCTCAATCCTATTTTGAAAGTTAAATGTACAGTTGAACTTTGGTACCTCAAAAACAGGTATCTCGAATACCATGGATATGTCTAAGCGATTAAGAAGTCCTAACCACTTATTTCTTAAGTATTTTACCCTCGATATCTCGAACCCTTGGATATCTCAAAGTTTTATCTCAGTCCCATTGAGTTCGAGATAATGAGGTTTGACTGTATTTGTCATTCCCGTTAAAGATTAGAAGAACTAATAGACATAGACGTAAGTGAGCGTACGAAATCCCACTTATAAAAAATTCAACCCTTTTGATGCATTTACATTGTATTTGGAGATGAACCATCAACACTTGCCATCAACTTCCTTTTATAGATGTAAATTGATTTGGTTGTCATTTCTACTTCTGATGCATGTAAAGTCCACACAATACAATGTCTCATTTGCATGTTTGTAAGGTGTTTTTTCATTGACATTCAATATATTGTTTACATGTTGTTACAATTGTCCCAGAAATCCAGCGAGATTTGTACATTTTTCACAGAAGAGCGCACTAAGAACTATAACTCTTACAGGGTGGAAATAGAAAGTATTATGGCTGACTTTCTATATGATTCTAGATATTTGTAATCACAGTACAGGGGGCTCTTAATTGTCTGACAATTGAAAAAGGCCGGGGTGGGGGGGGTGCTTATAGGGGGCAGGGGCAGTTAAAAGGGATTTTACAGTAAAACATTACATTTGGGGGGAGGTTGGGGGGATTCCTACAAAATGAATGTTTAATTGTTTTACATATATACATGTAGCTAAGAGTGGGCAGCTTTATTCAAACTGATAAAAGAGAAATATGTCTTTTAATTTATGTAATCTCTTGTGCGATTATCAAAATCTTGGTGATTTTTTTTTTTGCATGTTTCGACACATCTTGCTTCTAGAAAATCAATTTTAATGGCTTAATTTAAATTTAAACTTCAATATCTATTATCATGCAAATTTACAAGTATTTGTAAAAGTACAATGACTATCACACGTTCATACTTTCAACAAAAAATAACATCTACTTATAAATAAAACTGTGTTGACATATGACACTAAATCATGCTTCAACTTAAGAACTTAAAGGCATTAAGGGAAAAATAATTACATAGATATTATCATTTTAAACAACAGCTTCTGTTTAATGTTATACATGTATTTATCTAAGCAATGTATCAGAGAGAATCTGAAGTCCATACCTTTTCCAGGACCATGGGGTCATTAGCCAGATACATCCAGACCAATTTAAGGTGAACATCCCCCTTCTTAACATTTTCCAATGGCAACCACTGCAGCACAGAAAAAAACACAAGCACAAATATATATAACTGAATATTTTGTTGCTGGGGTCTTTTCAAAGGAAATTAGAAAAAAAAATACAAAACTTAATTATTTGCTGCATATTTTAGACATGTTAAAATACCAAATGTTGAAGCTTCTAACTTGTTTTAGAGTATTTGTCAAAAATTAATACTGTTCTTTAACCAGAAGTCTCTGTTGAGACTGTAGCTCTACTGGTTTGTACTTATAACAAAGGAAGAGAAAAGTAGCACTTGGACTTGAAAATTTGCAACAGCAATAAATAAATAATAATCCTTGTTTTACTCTCTCTTTGTTGCAAGATGAATTGCAATCAGACTAAAACTGTAGAAAGAGTAGCCTTTTAAAAGAATTTTAGAGAAATGTTGATTCTAGTTACCATGGCAACATCATTCATCAACATAAAAAAAAAGACTATTACGTATCTCAGTGTAGTCTACTTGCATGCCATGTTATATTAAAATCAGACCAAACTGTAGGCAAAGTAATATTTTGTTTGTTTGTTGTTTAATGTCCCTCTCAAGAATTTTTCACTCATATGGAGACGCCACCACTTGCCAGTGGAGAGCTGCAAATTCTGACCCTATGCTCGGCACTCAGGGCCATTGAGCATTAAGAGATCTTTTTCATGCCAGCACCTACTGCAACATGGGACCTTGGTTTATACAGTCTCATCCGAAGGACCGGTCTCCATGTCCCACAGTGGGATTCGAACCAGCAACGTAATGATCAACTCCTTACTCTGCGACTCTAGAGCAAACGTTCTACCACTGCGCCACGCGGGTGACAAGTAATGTTTTGAAAATATGTCAAAGAAATTTCACCTTTTTTGTAACCAAGGCAACACTTCACCAAAATCAAAACATAGGTAATCAAAGATTATGAAACTCACCTCGACGAATGTTATCTATAAGTAAGGCATATTTCACATCATATTTTTTTTCTAGTTAGGGTACATCCCAAGATCAATATCCATGCAAGTTTGGTTTAAGTAGGACTTATAGTTACTTGGAAATAGACCTGCTAAAAAAACTTTTAACCTGTTTACTAATCAAGAAAATTTTGGTCAGTTCCAACATCCAAAGCAAGTCTGGAAGTTTCATCCTTAAATGCACCATCTATGCAAGCTAAATCATAACAGGCCATAATATTATATAGCTACTCCAAAAAAAATTACCCTGGTCACTCATCTGGAAAATGTAAGTCAGATTCAGAATCCAAAGAAAGTCTGGAAGTGTCCATCCCTAGATACATCATCTATGCTAATTTGGTTAAAATATGGCTAAAATTCACTCATGTGGAAAATCTAGGTCTGATCCAGCATCCGAAGCAGGTTGGTTAGTGTACATCCCTAGATGCATCATCCATGAAAGTTTGATCCAGGTAGGGCTTATAAGCACTTGGGAATGAGACTGCTCCAAAATCTAAACCTGGTCTCACATGTGGAAAATCTAAATCAGATCCAGCATCCGAAGCAAGTGTGGTAATGTCCATTCCTAGATGCATCATCCATGCAAGTATGGTCCAGGTAGGGCTTATAGTTATTTGGGAATGGACTTCCTCGAGGTGAGCTAAAAATGGATATACAGAATTATGTACCTCAGTGTAATCTACTTGTGTGCCAAGTTATATTGAAATCAGACCAAAACTGTAGGAGGAGTAGAGTTTTGAAAGTATTTCACAGAAATTTCTATTTTTAGTAACCATGGCAACACTGTTCATTGAAATCAAAAACCAATATACAGAATTATGTATCTTAGTCTAGTCTACTTGTGTGCCAAGTAATATTGAAATCAAACCAAAACTGTAGGAGAAGTAACATTTTGAATGTATTTCACAGAAATTTCTAATTTTAGAAACCATGGCAACACCATTCATCAAAATTAAAAACCGATACACAGAATTATGTATCTTTGTGTAGTCTACTTATGTGCCAAGTTATTATGAAATCAGACCAAAACTGTAGGAGGAATAGCACTTTGAAAGTATTTCACAGAAATTTCTATTTTAGTAACCATGGCATCATCATTCACCGAAATCAAAAACAGATATACAGAATTATGTATCTTAGTGTAGTGTACTTGTTTGCCAATTTATATTTCAATCAGACCAAAACTGTAGGAGTAGCATTTTGAAAGCATTTCACAGAAATTTCTATTTTTAGTAACCATGGCAACACCGTTCATCGAAATCAAAAATTGATAAACAGAATTATGAATCTTAGTGTAGTGTACTTGTGTGCCAAGTTATATTGAAATCAGACCAAAACTGTAGCAGAAGTAGCATTTTGAAAAATTGTTTACAGACAGAGTTTTTGAAATAAAAAAATATTCACTGGTCAAGTGGACCAGTGATTTAGCGAAATTCACTGGTCCACACAAATATTCACTGGTCCATCAGCAAACATATTGAAATACTAAAAAAAATAAAATTAAAAAACCCAAGAAATTGTTTTAATACCAGTTAGGCTTTAAAAAAAATTATGTTTGTTTCCTGTAACATTCCCAAAAAATCGAGGGTCGGTGGGTAGGAATTTTTTTTTTTTTTTTTTTTTTGCTTATGAATAATTCGGTCAAACATCCCCAGACTGAATTAACCAGGTGTGATATTTACGGTGGACACCCGACATGTCTGTCTAAGCGCAGAAAACAAACCTCTAAAATTGTTGTGGGGGAAATGCTTGATGTAACGATAATGATTACCCTTTATATTTAAGGGAAATGATGATTAGGGTTGATAATGTTATATCCCAAATAAAGCTATGGTTAAATTTTTTGTATAAATTGAATCATCTGATTGAACAAACAGATTTGGCAGGGAAAAAATCACCCAGGGTAATCTGAATGGATCTGATTTTCTTTTACCGAATTTATAAGGCCATGCCGCTGCCACTTTGTGAAAAACTAACTGTCCTTGAGTTTATTCTATCATACTCGCAGATTCAATCTTTTTGACAATCTCACAAATAAACTTAACATCCACAGATCAAGAGGTGAAAATTCTGGAAAGGTCAAAAAAAATTTACCGGTCGCTCAGACTGATTACTTGAAGAAAATTACCAGACTTTAGAAATATTTACCGGTTTTGCCGGTGGGACCGGTGGATTTCAAAATCTCTGCAGACGGACAGACAGACAGCTAGACAGACGGACAGATGACAGACAACTTACTATCCCATAAGCTCTTCTGGTCTCTGACCAGTAGAGCTAAAAATTACCAAAACACATTTATGTACTAGTATATCTAATATACTTATAGCCATTTGCTTTTCTTTTTTGATATTATCCTTAAACTCCATGTTAATGACCTTGGATTCTAGTAATGTTATGTGTATATTGTGTACAGAAGTCTACCGTATCTTACAAAATCAACGGTTCCTTCAGTCATTGTACTGGAAATGTCAATTGCTGCCCTAAAAAAAAATAAAAATAAAGCAACGAGTCAGAAAGTATTATTTAATATCTTGTGCTGTGAGATTTAGAATTTTCTTTCTTCAAATCATATTAAAAAATGTTAATGAATTTCAAAGGACCATTACCAACAACCTTCAAATAGAAAGTCTCATAAATTAAAGCAAAATATTATTATTTTCCTCTTGTCCCTGCTCTTAAGAAAAGAAGTTTACCGTGTAACTACCAGGTACATGTGTTTACTATAAGAGTGATTGTTTTAAGTTTTCCTGCATATTTGTAGACATTGTCTAACTTTATTACGTACGTTCCAATTTTGTCATCTTTACTTCCTGGGTCCTCATCCCTTATCTCCAGGTCTATCACCTGAGCATCTTTGCAGTCTATGACAGTCTAAAAAGGATAGAGAATTGTTCAATATTGAGAATTTCTTTTAACTTCCAATAAAAGCACTACATTTTAAAACTGGTACCTTTAAAGGTGATTGACATGCATTGACAGAAAGATGTATTCAAACAATTCATCTATAACAAGTACACTGCTGAAAATATGTACCAAAAATCCTTTCTACACCCCACCCCCAGCTTCTTGAGTTTTTTTGAATTTTACCTCAAAAACCTCATTCCAAACAGGGCTGACAGTGTTGTTTATGACTTTGGTTTTGAATTTCTCAGGACCGACTGAAAAGTACAATTTTAAAGCTTCTTATGTATATACTACTATTTTTGTACAGTTGTATAAACATTTTTTTTAATCTTTCAATTGTTTCAGTTTTACACAGTTATATACAGTCATGTACATGTAGATTAATATCACATGTCAAAGCTTGTTTGTGTCATAATATGCACAGAAGTCCAATCAACATGCCATACATCTATTTTTACTTACATTTCAAAACAGCATATGGATCTGATTTTCCTTTTCCAACTAAAGCCATATCAGCTGATACCAGATTCCTGGCCTCCACCATGTAAATTCGCAAAACACCCTAAAAATTAATCAATTTTAAATAAGTGTGAGCAACATCTGGAATGGAGTTGTCCCAGCTATCTCCCATACAACAGTAGCTTCTAAAGATGAAATGGCTGAAGACACTATTATGTGCTTTACTAATACTCCTAACATAGTAGTGCCAAATTCCGTTTACTTTTTTATTCTTTAAAAGTTTGACAAATGTTGGCTAGTACCTAAGCTCCTATGAGGGCTACTTGAGGAGGCCCCATAACTAACCATAACTAGCCTCATCTCAATGGTACCTATATGCCTGTAGAATTACGTTAATCTTTACCTCAGGTGAGGACTACATGAGGAGGCTCCATGACTTACCTCACCTGGATGGTACATAATTATATACCAGTAGGACTAGGATTAAATTTTTACCTGAGGTGGAGGATACTTTAGGGAAGTCCTATGACTTACCTGTACCTCACCTGGATGGTACATATATACCTGTAGGATTAAATTTTTACCTGAGGTGGGGGATACTTCGAGGAAGTCCTATAACTTACCTCACCTGGATGGTACCAGTATGTCTGTAGAGTTAAAACTTTACCTCCGGTGGAGGGTACTTGAGGAGGGCAAGATTTAGTTCTGGCACCATTGGGACCGCTATTCTATTGGGTAGCACCATTATGTTGGCTATCTGCTCGGCGATTATGTCCTCAACCATCTCTCTAATTATACAAAATAAAGCATATAAAGATGAATTGTCAATAACATGTAATCCAACAACAACCACTCCAATTCTATAATCAAATATTTCTGCATATTTGTTAATTTGAAATATCTTAGCAATATGTAGAAATGCTAACAAATGCTTTGAATTTCCTCTTGATCTCCATTTCAAATGTACATACCACTTAGAATGATCATAAAAAATTCCATATTTCAGATGAAAATGCACTACTTTCACAAATGATTGTTATAAAACATCAAAATGAAGTTAAAAAACATACATATACCTTCATGCAATTCACTACTGAGAATACTTAACTAAAAATCATACAATAGATGCTCAATAATATAAGAATATATTGAAGATATATGAAAATTTAAGCTCTAGAGCATGACATCCTTTAGAAATACAAACAATCATGTTGATAATATATTTTAATTTATATCGTCTTTGGCTTACAAGTAAGTTTCTATGTGAATACTGCATTCGAACCCTAGTCATAAAAAGACGATAAAATATTTAAGAAGGAAAAAGTATACTACAGTACTCCTCTCTCAATGAAAATTTATATACCAGAAAGAACATTCAACGAGTATATTGAGCATTTACCAGTATCAACTCATGCCTGTTCACACACTGCTCAACGCGTTATCGGCTATTCGGTTGTTATCGGACATTCGGTGCAAGGAAGGCAAACTTTAGAAAACATAGGTGATTTTTAAATATCCTAATTCAACGATAATTGCGTACTTCAGCAAACAAAGTTTGTGATCTTAGGCAGATAAATGATTTTACTTTCAGCAGCAAAAAGAACAAACCAAATCACTCTCTTTCTAGAGATATACAGCTCTTTCAAATGATATTTTATTAAAATTTGGGAATATTTCATCACATTGTAGAAGTCAAAATCAGATTATTCTATAATAAAACAAAACGGTTTATTTATTCTATGGACAATCATATACCTGTAGATAAGCAGACTGAGATCAAAAATCCAAATTAAGGGTTAGTTAACAGGCATCTAAAATGTTCCGTTAGGTTAAAACATGTTATCGTCAACAAGGTTGATGTTGCCGGATAATTCGGTTTTTATGGGTGTACGTTATCGGAAACTCAGGTTAAAAAGTTTCTTTCAGCTCTAGAAATAGATTGGGAAAAAAGTAATTTATAATCTGTTAATCCTTGAAAATAGCAGACGTAATGTGTTTTAAGGATATGCGATCCTCAGCCATGAAGGATAACTCTTAAAATTATTATTTAATTGAAAAAGTCTCAACATGACGCTTGAAATTGAAAGCTATTCATGCAACAATTTCCATTTTATGCATCTTAATATGATTTAAGGTTTTTGAAGTCTTAGAAAGGGTCTTGTAAAAAGTTGACATTTGTTCCTTATAAAAGTAAAAAATAAATACAGTTTTAGATGAATAGGATTTTCTTGAGTCTACCTTAAACACCAATGCTTTTTAGCATAATATGAAATTGGAATGGATTTGTGATGTCTTGTAATTAAAGCACAAGCTTTTTACACTATGTATTATATAAATTTTGGAAGAAAATAGAAGACATATACATGTAAAACCAAAGAACTATTTAAAAAAACATGCAAATTCTCTAAATGCCTGGATACCTATCATTTTTAATCTTAAAATATATTGTGAATGTTGATCAGTTTTCAATTAGAAAATGCATAGTTGATGTTTCTATTCGTCTTCTGAATATATTGGAGATTTGATAATTTTCCATATGTAGTATGATAAACTATAATGATTAACTTTGAGGAAATACAGTGGGTAAATATACATTAATTTGTGAATTCAGAGATATTTTTGTGAGCATTTTCAATTACATAACTGCTGAGGATCTGAATACCTTAAGTAATTTTTGAAAATTTTTCAGCTTTCTATTGTTATTTTGTTTTGATACTCGTACATGTATATAAGTAAGAATAATTAATAATTATTATAATTATGATTTTATAATATAACTCCCTATCTGTTCAATCATTTTTCTGTTATCCATTAAACATTATATATATTACATGTATATAACAAATCTATAGTTGCTTTAGTTTGTCACGTCTTCCGATCTAAGACTGTAGGTCGTTTAAATTCCACAAGGTTAAAATTTCACGATTTCTCAAAAAGTACCAATCGCGATGGTTTTAATTTCACGCTGCAAGAAATTAATTTAAATTTCGTATAAGCATTTAAACGTTTTAAAAAACTAATGATAGCATTCACGATGGGTTTAATTTCGCGGAAAAATGATGAAACGCGATCATAGTGAAATTAAAATCATCGTGATTATTTGCCAATCTACAGTATGTCATTTAGTGCCCAAATGAGCCTAGCAGGCTAAATGTTTTTATGTCCAATATAGAGCGATAGCATTGTTTGTGTCAAACCATATGATTTAAAGGTTTAAAATAGAGGAAATAGAATGAGGAACATATCGCAAAGAAATATTTCTTTATAAATTAAATGAAAAAAAAAACCCGTCAAATTTCCCAAATAAGTGAACAACACTTGGGGGGGGGGGGGGGGGGGGGGTCGGTTGATTCACTTCACTTCTTCATATGTTTAACTTTTTCTACAAACAGTGATCCGCGTTTTCAATGAAGGAGGGGGGGGGGGGGAGATGCCAAGGTTTTTTTTATTTGCTTGAGTAAAAAAGTTCAATAATTCTGCAAATTCCAGGTGAGGTTCGAACCTCCCCGATGTCCCCCCCCCTCCCCAGCTCCAAGCATGAGCTCCACCTACACATTGAATTATCTACGGGTTTTCCATTTGGCCAATAATGATACAGAGCACACTATGGGTGTGACCGATCGACAGGGGGTGTTTATTCCTTCTTGGCCACTAAACCAACCACTGATGTTTTTAGAGGTCCGTGTTTTCTCTGTTCCAAATTTTTATTGTTTCAATAGACTTTTGAGCTTGATTACGTTATCTTCATAATTTTTTTCCGTCAGTAACGCTTTTTGAAAACTAGTAAAGTCAATCTCTTTTTTTTTTCTCAAAAGTTATAATTCTAGGTCATATCTGGCTTAACACCCTTTTGGGAAATTCATTAAACCACCTTTGAGTTTAGATTCTTTAATTGCTTTATACCAAACTAAAACATGTATGTACTTTGTACTAACAAAAGGAGGTTAAGGGTAGATCAAAAATGCAAAGTCAACGAATAAAGACGAAGCAAGCAAAACAGAGATAAAAACGAAGAACAGTGCGTAACTGAAAGGCAAGCACAGAAAACTAAGAATAAATTACTGTGAATTCAGCAATTATTGCTAGTCTTTTTATATTGCGAATAATGCAACGTAAGAATCGCAATAATTAAATCTGGAATCTGTATTTTGGTTACAATTATAGAGATTTATAATTCTAAGGTTTTAAAACTTACACCAAATTTTCGTAAGGTTAAGATCACACACATTTCAGTGATTATGAGAAATGCCATAAACACTAATTTTTTTTAAAGTTACATATTCTAAAAAGAGACAAATGATAGCCAAAAAATTCAAATTGTGTGCCTGCAATTTTAAATATTTAGATTTAATGAAGTTTTTCTGTTGTTTCTTTACATTTTCCTTATCTATGACAACCTTTGTTTCCGATAACAAAAACCGAAATTTCCGATAACAAAGTGAACCATTCAACCGTATTTCCGATAACATCCTAAAAGTAAAAAAAACGGGAAATTTTACCTTTTAATTGCATCTTTGCTAGATTCTGACGATGTCACATTGTTGACAATAACTAATGTTAGGTAAATATAAGGATTTTGAAGAAAGAGGCTATATGCAGCAATGCCAATCGGACAAAAACTTGCAAAATATAACAAATTTGACTTTTAAAGTCTTCCCAAGACTCACAAATACTAATAAGATATATTGGGGCTTTATTTTGTATCTGTATTCATTCTTGTTCACAAAAAGCACAATCAACATTCTCTGTTTCAATTTTTACAATGTTTATTTAATGCAACAATTTACTAACCTGTCAAAAGTTGTTATCCACCGAATCAGGGTTAGAAACTCCCTTAAATTACAACTCGCAAATAATTGCTAGTACCAAGAAAGTGAACTCGCAATTTTGTAAGACTACTCGCAATTTTCATATAAAGTTAAATTTATATAAATTAAAATACATGTAACTTAAGGAAAAAGTAACTTCTGTACAATACACAAAATACAACTACAGTGTGATTTTTGTTAAATTACTGATTTAAATCAAAAGCATTGTATTCTGTCATATTATATATTTTTGATACAGTTTCAATGCAAAAAAAATCAACTCGCAAGTTTTTGCGAGTTACCTAATTTTTAACTCGCAATTTGGGAATTCTAACTCGCATTTTGCGAGTTGTATATAGTGAATTTCGAACCCTGCGAATGCCCGATAACAACCGAATAGCCGATAACGCGTTGAGCAGTGTGGTTCAACGACAAGCTTAACTTAAAATCAGAGCAGTGGGGTTTTATTATATACATAAATACACAGAATGCAAGTCTCTATATCTTAGTACCTGTTCCTTTGTGGACACTGTCTTTTTAACGTCAATAGAGAAAAAAGTTATTTCAATGTCATTTTTTCCAAACTTCATGAAAGAGGAAAAGTTCAAATGAAGCCAATTTTTATCAAAATTTAAAACAAGCAACTGCTACAAGCAGTACAGACAGACTGTGGAATACATGTAAGCCAGATGTAATGAAATGAAATCTTGATAATGTGATCAGTGCTTAATTACCTAGGCAGTGTAGGTCAAGGTCACCCAAAATGCAGTATTAAAATTAGAGGTATTGTGAGCACTGATCTCACAAAATAATAAAGGAAAATCTTTATCTTCTCAAAAAAGGTTAATAAACTTTTTTTTATCAATGTCAAGGTCAAAGTAATGCCTAAACCTGCAGATCTGTCGCTGATTGATCTGAAAATATATCTGAATTCAGCCATCCAAATTTTTTTCAGCCAGGTGAGCTACAGATCTGTAGCT